TCAAATTCCAGTAGTAGTTCTTGTTATTTGAGTGAGAGTCATTTTTCGTGTGTCGATGCTCAATGTATGATTAAAGTTGTGATATGAATTTAGTGTCGATGGTCAATGTATGATTAAAGTTGTGATATATTCCATATATTTTTCTGTATGTACAGGTGGTTAGAACATATACCTATGGCTCCAGTGGAGGGGTGTCCAACTGTTTTTCAAGTTGTTTGGAATTTGACGCCCGGATATCATCAGGTTTATTTCTTACACTTATCAACACTATTATACTCGGTTCAACTTGCTGAAGTTTAAAATCTTACTTACTGTTCTCATTTTGAGTTCTGTAATCATTGGTATTGCTATTGTTATGTGGTAACAGTTAAGTTGAGTTTGCTTGCATAAAGGATAAACAATGTAATATTATGAATCAGGATTCGTGAATGCTGTAACATTGTTTGTTGCGTGCTTATGTTCCGTCTAACACTCAGAAAAGGGAAGAAATTGGCATTTCTTATTTGTTACATTCCAGTAGAGAGTTATGAAGGAAAATTATTTATGTAGGAAACTCTGATTGGTTCAGCATGCACAGGCATCAGGCTTTTATCGTACAATATGCTATTGGCTATAAATAGCACCCTCATAATCAAGGGCATAGCGCGAACATATCCATAAGGGTTGACCTTCTACCACAAATTAGATCGCCGAATGAAGTGAAGAAGTATATTTCTGCTAAATAAATGAAACTCGAATAAATACTCCAAAACTTTGTCCTGCATCATTAAAATATATAACCTCTGAACCTCTACAAATCAATGTGCTAAGATTATATTACATTTTTTTCTTACCCTATATGCTTTAATGTATGTAAAGGAAAGATAATAATACCATTCCCTACGTGCTGGTTGTGGTGGTCGATGCTCCTAATATGCTGATATCGTCTTGTTGCTTTCTCTCGCAGCCATAAGATATTCTCACCCAAGGGCTACATATGCTCGCTTACTGGTACATCATACAATTTCTTTAAGTGTCATGCTGATATTAAATGTGTTATTTCCAATAATTGCAGTACAAATTTTTTGTTGATGGCCAATGGCGACATGATGAGCATCAGCCTTTTGTTAATGCGAATGGTGGAGTAGTGAATACCATCTTTCTAGCAGGAGAAGATATGGTTCCTACAAGTTTCAGTCCTGAGACTTCTGGTGGATCCAATATGGACTTAGATGTGGTTCCTAGACATGTAGTAAGTTTTTCACTTGTATTTAAGTCAAGGATTTGAGTTGTCTAGCAGTACAGAATAGGTCATGTTGTAAGTTGGTCTATTGCAGGAAGCAGTTCCTAGGTTCTCACAAGCTGATCTCGATATCTCTCGTCATCGTATATCTATTTTCTTGTCCAGACATACTGCTTATGAGTTGCTTCCCGAGTCAGGCAAGGTTTGAATGCTTTACCCTTATGCAGCTGCTGGCTATAGTAGGTAGCTTAGTGGGGTTGACCACCGTTGTCTGGTAATTTATCATTCTTATTTTAATCATGATGCGATCACAGGTCATTGCCTTGGATAATAGTTTACCTGTGAAGCAAGCATTCCATATCCTGCATGAACAGGTGAATGTCTTTTCCTCTAACGCATGTAAATGCTTTCACTTTAACAAACAAAAAGTGGGAGGGAGCTTTAATTCCCCAGCTTACATAAATTGATTGTCTCTGCTTAATTTTCATCTGTCCCTAGGACATTTATTTCATTTAAACAGTTTCTGCTTTGGTAATAATTTTCATTATGTACCTATCTATATGTTTGGTTACTAATTTAAGTTCCTTTTAAGGGATTACCTATGGCTCCTCTGTGGGATTTTGAGAAGGGCCAATTTGCTGGAGTTCTTAGCGCAATGGACTTCATCCTAATCTTGAGAGAGGTGTTTCCCGTGTAAAAATTGTCATTCCTTATTATAAGTATATGCTTATGCTAGTTCTGGATGAAACACTGTAATATACACACTTTTATCAATTTATTATATATGTTTGAAAAGTTTTAAAGTTTTGAGGCTACATGTAACTAAGAGGCTTCTAAGCTTCAACTATGCTACAAGGTGCATAATGCATACTAATGGTTGTTCTCTTGAATCTCTGAACATTCATATTATAGACAAGTAACATCCTTCCTGCCATCATACTTAATGTTGCGTCTATTTTCTTTTTGCAAACCTTGCTGGAGTCAATTTATGGTGCTTGAGGGAGTCTGCATCCTGAGAAGTTGGTTAATATTTGACGGCCAATACAACACTTGATATGAATTCTCGGCACACAAAAACGGTCCTTAAATTTAGTCTTTTTTCCTTCTTTCCCCATTCCATCTATACGGTTCCCTCTATTACAAATTTCTTGTTTCAAATAACCTTAAGTTCTTTATTATCCTTACCCTGAAAATTGTTTCACGCAGCTCATGAGTTTTCATGGTTGCCAATCTCAGATTGTGGTTCTTAATATAAGTTTATTCTGGAAGTGACATGCTAAATTAATTAAAATGTATGGTTCTTATGAAAGCTTGGGAATCATGGATCCAACTTGACTGAGGAAGAGCTTGAGACTCATACTGTAGCAGCATGGAAAGAGGGAAAAATAAATCTTAACAGACAACTTGATGACAATGGGAGATACTGTCCATCGCGTCTTGTCTCTGTAAGTTCTTCATGAGATGCTAATTTGTATTATATTTTTAAATGACATGTTATCTTTGGCAATTATATAATTCAGAAACTTCTATACCTATCATGATAATGCTTATATTTGTACTGTTTTGACATACAGGCTGGCCCTTATGATTCTCTCAAAGAAGTTGCAATGAAAATTTTGCAAAACAAGGTGGCAACAGTTCCAATTGTCCATTCAACTTCGCAGGATGGTTCATTTCCACAACTATTGCACCTTGCTTCCCTCTGCGGAGTACTAAAATGTAAGTATTTCTCTAATATATCGTTAAGGTTACACATTTAGTTACTAATCTGTAATAAAACTTCAGGCATATGCAGGCATTTTAGACATTCTTCTAGCTCCTTGCCCATACTCCTACATCCTATATCTGAGTTTCGTTTAGGCACATGGGTTCCAAATATTGGAGGGTCAAATGGACGGCCACTGGCAATGTTAAGACCAAATTCATCTCTTGCTGATGCCTTTTCTTTGTTGATACAAGGTTATATTTCTTCTCTTTTCTAGCTGTCTGCTTCACATATTACCTTGTTTTTATTACTTGTCTCCAAAATTAGCCAGATGGTTTTATTTACATCAGTCCTGACTCCTGCTTCTTTGTGGCTTATCCTGTTTCGTATTTTCTTTTGCAGCTGACGTTAGTTCAATACCTATAGTGGATGGTAATGATTCATTGCTGGATATTTATTCGCGAAGGTGATCTAATGAATTTCATTTATATTTGCATCAAGTTTTACATAGAGCTAATTACCTTGTTCTTTGACCAATTGTTGAATGTGCTTCTTGTATCTTCCTCAGTGATATCACTGCTTTGGCCAGAGATAAAGCGTATACACAGATTCGCCTTGATGAATTGAGCATCCATCAGGTACTTGCTAAATGGTGCAAGTTTGCGTTACCTCTGTTACATTCTATGATCTTTACATGTGGGTGATGTTAGCCTCTTCAGTATGTCTTGAATAGTTTCGGTGTGCAACAAAAAGGTTTATGTGATTATGTGAGTCCACAAATCTTGGAGTTTAGTTGACACAAACACATAATGCAAGCCAACCTATTAGTAGCGAAAATATAGACGGGGAGACAAAATACAAAATCGAAAGACAATGAGTGATGAAAAATTTCTATAGTGCGAATTTTCAGTTTTGAAATGTTTGGTAATGTACACATCTCTGAGAACTGAATGTGCCTGCCTGCATGTTGTAGGCATTGCTACTGGGACAAAGTGAAAATCCTCCTTATGGCTTCTTCAATGGGCAGAGATGTCAGATGTGTTTGCAGTCAGATTCTTTGCATAAAGTGATGGAGCGCTTGGCTAATCCTGGTAAGTTGCTTGCCCATCAGGTAAATAACTTTGCTATGTTTTGCTTTTGTTAGTAACAAGTTTTTTCACACGTCGCTTCCTTGCTAATTTTTAGGGGTTAGGAGACTTGTGATTGTGGAGGCCGGCAGCAAGCGTGTAGAAGGGATTATTTCTTTGAGCGATGTATTCAGGTTCTTGCTAGGCTAGCTTAAACATGTTGGCTGCTATATACCATGACATGGCTTTTGAGGTGGGATTGGGGGTGATTTTATTTTCGGCGCGTTTTTTGTCTTTGCACATGCTGAATGGCTTCATTTAATCACTCAAAAGTCTTTTATGGGTGCCTCGTGTTTCCGGAGCCCTGCCTTACTTAAGAATAGAAATTTCAAAGAGAAAAAAAATCTGTAAATTGTGAGGATTCAAATTTTCCCCTTTTCATTTGTATAAACCTTTAATTTATCAACTCTGCTTTCTCTTCCATCTCTTATATTGTGTAAAGTGTATATGGCTGTTCAAGTTTTTGGGTTTTTGTGAAGTGGGTTAGTGGGATGGACTAATGGGCGTTATAGGATTGAAATTGAGTGGTCTGGATCTCTCTGTTTGCAAGCTCCGCACACAGAGATTCGGATTGGATCTCAATCCCCTCTCTTATGTTGTGTGTAGTGTGTATGGCATCCATGATTGTGGTGGGCTGCATTTGAAAGTGGGTTTCAATGTTTAGTTATGGTGCACATTTTTGCAAAGCACTTGCGGTACCTTGCATCGCAAGAAACTAACTGCTACAGGTATTGTTACGTTTTATTCTCCGAAATTATATTGGATGTTCTTAATATCAAAACGGTTACAGTTCTTACATGGCTCACCTAAGCAATGGCTCACACCAGCCGTGCCACCGTGGTGTTGCCCAATTCGGGTGTTGTGACTACGGTTAGGCGTTATTATAGCTTTAATTGCTTGTAGAATTAGTTTGCAAGGTAAATTAGTCATACATTTCACTGGAAAATGAGTGAGAAGCTGTAGAAATTGGCAACCATTAAGCAGAAACATGTACTCGTTTTTCTTTTGGCCAACAGGACATCAGAGAAAACGAGGACCGAAAACCAAGCCCTTATCGACTATATACACGGAACAGCTTCTAATTTACAGGCCTAAGAACCAAGAAACTCAATCCGATGCGCGTAATTGGCAGTCAGTTAAGTTTGTTTGGTCTGGAATAATTTTAGAAATCAAAACAACTCCGGAGACTGGAAGGAAGCACCGGACTCAAGTTGGTACGAGTGCTAATATCTGTGTCTTGATTCTGCCCATGCACATTTGAATTTCTCTGTAAATTCCAACGTTCTGGGGACAGCGTGGATGCAGGCTTGTCACTGCGTAATCTAACACTTGAGCAACAGCGGCCGGAGGAAACTGTCGTTCAGTGCATGTCTGCACAAGGACAAGTGAAAAATATTCAGCACAATGCAGTTACGGATCCAGTTGCAGGTAAGAAATGACCAAGCAAAAGTGAACGCTAGCATTTTTCTCTACCGACCTATCTCGACACTAGCTCAGTTTACCTGTATCATGTGTACGGCCATCACGCATGCAGAGATGACCTCCGAAAGAATCTGAGCCTCATTTTTGTCAGCGTCGGTATGCAACTTCGGGGCAGATGAATCACTGGTCAAGTTGGGATCTGATGTGCCGGAACTTATCTGATTGCGTTGGCCCAAACTGCCATTTACTTGCTCTTGAGACCTGTTCACAGGTAATCTAGACTCTGATATGAAATGCTGGTTATCGATGGAATCTAGAGCCTCTCTTATCCCAACGTAAGCATCTTCCCCGCACTTCCCTGACGCCATTACCTGTAATGATAGCATCATTGTGTTACCGCACTAACTGCATTCAATTTCAATACCGAAGAAAACGAAGAAAGAAAAAAGAGCAACTGCTTGGATTTTCCCCAGCGATAAAGAAAACTAATGTTTGGATTTTCAGCCATTTGAAAAAATACAGTCCAAATGTGAAGACCAATATCGTACAAACCCAAAATTACAACAAATCCGGTTACCTGAATAGCAGCATTAACCATCATATGTGCTTTCGATTTTGAAACTTCAACAATGTCAGCAACACTAGATCCTGACTCTTGAGAAATAGAGCTGTCGAAGGAACTCGGGTCACCATAGATGGTGGAATTGGCTGGTTGTTTCATCCAAGGAGGTAGGGAATTTGCAGGGTAAGTATTACGTTGCCTCAAATTAACCAAAGCTGAAGAAACCTGCATGTGGAAGTGATTATTTAGGGTCGCTACAAGGTCAGAGCAGAATATGGTATACCAAAAACACATGTAAAGCATGATATAAATTCACGGAAGCCACATGCCTGGCCACCGGCTTCCTTTAGCTGTACAAGTACCGTGGCGTAATGCTTCTTAAAAGGCTCGCTATCTTTTAAAGTGCATTCTCCACTGTTCTGGTTTTCCAAAATGTTATTATTTGTGTTCCTAAGCTCCATCAACAATGCCTCCTAAAATTCGAAAAACAAAATCAACTCTTTCTGAGCATCGTTACAAATTCAAGGACGTTTAGCAAAGAAGCTTGATGCCGAAAGATTCACAGGGATGGATAAAGACAACACTAAGACAGTTGACCAAAGTGGGAAAGGGCACCGACGACCATAATGAGGAAATTCGAAGACCTAAGGAATTCAGGAGGGAGTGGCTTAAAGGTTGAAAACAGAAACAGAAGTTTTACATACAGAAGACAGCTTTCAAGCTAACTGAATTTATGATAAGACAACGAAATGCATGCGTAATGCGGCATCAGGATGTTCACAATTTCACAATAAATACATCTATTAATCAGCTTCAAGGGTGAAAAAAAGGATAACCTTCTTATCAAGAGCACGATTCAACTCAGAAAGAGCTCGTATATCAGCTTCCCTTGCTTGATTATGTGCCACCACCATACCAGGTTGACTATATGATGTCTGTTGTGCCCTACCAATATCAGCTGATACTGCTTTTGGTTGTGCAGTTGTATAAATTGCATTCCCCTGTACAAAATTTTAAGAAAATTAGTTGATTGCTCATGAAAACTAACTAGCATCCAGAATTTTGAGACTAATCTATGTTGCCTGAACATCCCCCCTTTTATTCCTCTTTACAGACATGAAATGCAGTTCAACCGTTAAGAAGAGTTCGTTCAACAATATCAGTTTTTTCCCCTTTCTTCCTAATCTATGCAGGAAAAGGTGCCTACTCAACATATTCACTGGGCGGGCCACTAAATGCCTGTTACCGGTAGAAGAAAGAGAGTACCATTGAACCTATGGGCATTCTGACGTTTGGTGCTTCCGAAGCGAAATTGTAGTAAAACAGCCTGGTCATTGGGGACTTAAGCTCTGTTGTATGGTTAGGTGAAAAGGCAACTGCCCATTTCTCAAATTTATTTTCTCCCGACCACACACTATGGTTTCTAGAACCAGCATCCTCATACATTCATCAACTAGATCTTATACCATCAATCACCTAAGGTAGCAACCATAACCATAGGCCGTAAAATGTACAGAAAATGTTAAATCAAAATGAAAAGATATAACAGAGGTCAAACGCAAAATCTACAGCATGAAAAAAGACTTCCAGAATACAAGATAAGCAGTGGATGTTATGAACTGCAAAGAGTTTTAACAAAAAACAAATTCACAATTTTGCTTTAGTAGAAATGCTGACCTTCTCCTCCTTTATGAAGGCATCCATGTCCATGGGGCTAGTTGCTTTCACCAAATGCCCACTTGAAGCAAACATCATAGGCCCTCCAAAATTTAGATTTCCATTTTTATTTGGCTCCTTGGATGTACATGAGAATTTGTCAAAAGCAATATTCCGTCCCCTAAGAGCTTCTGGCATATTATCCAATGGGTTCAAAGGCATACAATCAACATCCTGCAAAGCAATTTTCTCATGTCATATCTCAAAATAAGTAGGTGGATTTTCTTGATGTAGCATTCTGATTCACTAGCACTTGATAGCACATAAGAAAAGGAAAACAAAAGAATAAAATATCAAATTATCAAGCTGCTAGCGAACAGCAGTGTCATCTGAAATCTTTTGGGTTCATCTTCTTTTATTAGTAAATAATCAGTCTGTAACCTTTGAATGCATAACCTAAGGTTTTTATGGTTTGTGTAGCAGCCTTTATTTGAATCAATAGCCACATAATTTTATTTCAATTTCAGATAATAAAACAATTCAGTAAGAGCTAAATAGAAAACTTGAACATAATTCCCTAAAAGTAATAACTTGAGTGATATATCTGGTAGAACCCAGTATTTAATTAAAAACATAAGGTCAAGCATCTCAATCCAAGAGTCATGCACGCAAATAATCCTCAGATAGGATGGTCAAGGGAAAACAGTTTACCTAGCATTGGTAACTATTGAACTCACTAAAGATCAAATAAGCTAGTATTTGGTGTGTGAAGATGGGTGCAAGAGTGTCAATAAGTAGTTTGTCAAAAATGGGACTAGAAAAAGTTTCCACGATGACAAACGAATACAAAATGGAAAAATGACATGCAGACAAGTTAAAAGGATCCCCTACCATGACAAATTCAACTCCTATATCTGGACGGTCAAACTGAACCCTGCACTTATCATGATCAACGGTGAGCACACTTCCATCGTGAACTTCTCTTGTTTTAGGATGTAGAGCAATCACTCGTTGCCCAACTGATAAAGGTCTTGCTAAATCTGTTGGGAGTCCTTCCCTAACACCAGTACGAAGTTCAGCATAATGTTTCCTCACAGATTCCCGATATTGTTTAAGTTTCTCCCTTTCTTCATGTAGAAAGTGCTCAGAAAACCTCCGAGGTTTGCCAAGGGAACTGCAATGTAAAGAAAACAATGCAACAATATTCAGTTAATATTTTCACAATTTACATACCATATTCTATCTACTTGAAATATGTACCTTCTAATGACTCCCCATTCTACACGAGTTAGTCTCGGAATGTGTCCCAGTCCAACATGATTTAAGTACTCCTCAAACTCCCTTTTGGCAAACCAAGCGTAGTCAAGTGCGCTATAAAACCACTCAAAAGTGCACCATCTACGTAATAAATCCGATGACAAGCAACAAGAGATCTTCTCCTGCAAATTAATTATATGAGAATAGAATACTTTGGTTCTAAACATGGAAAAAAATTAGAGAGAAAAATAGGACACATGACTGTACCTTTAGATGGAGTGCTCTGTCCTGCACTGAATTTGAGCGTGTGTTAAGTTGATTTTTCAATTTTTTCTCACAAGACTTCTCTTTGGGGTGCAATGTTCTGGGTATATACATTTTACGTCTACTTGTTCGTTTCATTGGCAAATTAAATTGGCTTGACGTGGGCACTTGCGCGGTCGATCCTGTTAAATCAGCCAATGCTCGCCTATGATTGCCATTCAAAGATCCTTCCAGTGATCTGGCTGATTTCCATTGTTTCGAAGGAGTAGAGACTTGACTGGTGCGTTTTCCTTTAGTCACCGGTTTATTTTCTTCTTCACCAAAACCCTACAACATATGGCATGGAAATGAAGTAAAACATAACTCAAACAAAATGACAGGTAAAGAATCATTTACTTCATTCAATATAACGTCCACCTCAAAAGATCCAGAATTTGAAGCCATAATGTACATGTGTATATATTGTCCTAATGGAAATGGAATGTGACTGCATTTGGTGCAGAAAAAGGACCATAAATACAAGTGAAAACTAAAAACATACTAAAATTTATCATGTTGAAAATGATAAACGTCTTATTGGATAACACATATACAATTGTAAAATATCCAACAAACTTACTACCCATTGATAAAATGGTACCAAACATAATACATTTATTTACCGGTTATATCCTTTTTTTTTTCTTTTCAAGAATGGCTAATTGTTGTACCTTTATCATATGGATATCTGTGCTTCATATATAGCTCATAGCTACAAGACTTGGAATCCAAAAAGTAACCACAAAATATAGGCTCTCTACAGAAGACAGTTAAAAGCATGTTCAAATATAAAGAAAAAGGATCTGCAATACATACCTCAGTCTTTAAAGGTTCATTCATATCAGAATCCATATGAGCATCAGCATTTGATATCTGAAATGAGAATTGTCGTTCATCACCAAATTAAAGGTAAGAGAGATTCTAAGAGAATTTACATTGATAATCAACCTTCATTGCTATGTTTACCTTCGGCACCAAACATTTCCGTTTCCTTTTCAATATTTTGGTGGTCGACTGAGACTGTTGTTCCGATTCTGAGACAGTATTAATATCAATTGCCGGATCCCTCCCAACTTTGGACTTTTTGGAATTGGTACCCTCAACTCCAGAAATTGCGCAAGGCAATCTATGTTTTGCACCAGGGAGTTTATTTTTGTTTCTGAATTGGCTTGTAGATGTGGTTTCAGGTACACTAAATTTATCTTCCGCATCTATGTTTGCTCCTCCATCTTTCAACTGGACAGATGATCCTATATCCAACAAATACGGATAACATCATACCTTAAGAGAAAATATTTGATCATTTAACCATGCATAATAGATGTGAGAAATTAACAATTGCACCCAGATAAAAACATGAATCCCAAGAACAAAGTGCAGTTCAAAATGCTGCACTAAACTATTATTTCGTGAATTCATCTAAAGTCATTTTCTTCAAATTTATCCATCCTCTCAAAATTGTAAATGTAAAATGCGAATGGATGCCTCACTAAAGTTATAAGTTATACCTGGTGATCTATTTTCCCTATATATAGATAAAATGCCTCACTAAAAAGTAACAACGCCCATCCAGGAAATTTTCTAAGCAACAATCTACATACCAGATTCCATTGATTCCGGCATCATCAGAGACAAATCAGCTAAAGTTTGCAGAGCATCCAAGCATGAACTTTTATCTGCAAGAAGAATAATTGCAATATCAATATATCGTTACAAGACATATAAAGCAACTCTCAATACAAATAGCAGGCTGTAAACCCATACCTGCAGAAGTCAAGATATAGTTCATGGTACTAAAAATATTTATAAAAAAAAAAACATGCAATTGATGGAATTCAAAATTAAAATGGTTATTAAAGGTGTCTGTGCAATTAGATATTGTACGTGTCTCTGCAATTAGATATTGTATGCCCCTGATTGTCATATTAATATGCATAAATAATCAGCACAAATAATACGTAAATGTACAAAAATATGGTTGGATTCAGTGTTAGTCCTCTAGGTTCTGAAATCATCTCCACAATCAGCACAATTAATACGTATTTACAGCAATGTGACTGTATTGTACTTCAACAACCACTACTTGTCATAAGTTCAAATAATAAGCACTTGCGTTCCCTTTTTATCGAGTTCCTGTATATGGTAGTGTCTCCTAACAAGTTAAGTTCATTACAGACTTCAAATAGAAAAGAACAAAACAAAATTCGACAACAAAGAAAAAAACATATTCCAGAAAATAAAAGATAACATCACACCATTTACTTCAACTTTCAATTGCATGAAAAGAAAAAGAAGAAGTAACAATTAAATAGTCATTATTCTGTCCTGGAATGCCAACAATATATGATGCGCATAAGCAAAATTACCTCCAAAATAAAGTTTTTTGCTCTTCGTCCTTTGACCTTGTGGAGAAAGTCGTTCCCCTTTTGTATTTGAAACTTCAATATCATCTGTTGCCCTAGAACTTAGATTAGGTACTTCTTCAGTGCCACTGCACGCTTCACCGCCATCATCAAACTGATGATTCTCACTGTGTTTAACTTTCCCTTTCTTTTTATACAACTTCTTCCCCTTCGAAGGCATTTCTACTGTACCTACACCTTCTAATAAATCTCTGTGATAGTCTCCTGTTTCAGCCCCGCCACTTCCTATACTACCTTCCAACCAGTCTCCGTCCATTGAAGCACGACGAAGGTTGGCACTTGCTTTCCCTGGTGGTGGATGCTATATTATATAAACAAAAGAGAATCAAATAATAAATCTCTATGAATAAGACAACAAATGTAGGGCCAGAACAAGTGAACCCATATTATGTACCATTCTTTCTGAGCTCTGAACAGAAGAAGATTTTAAATGCGCAGGCCTTCTGTATGGCGTTTGAGAAACTTGGGGAGAGCCTCCTCTTTGCGAAGCTTCAGTCAATAAGGCTACCACATGCGAAACATCATCATCATTGTCTCCCTCTGACTTCCGACCCTTTTTAATTGGAGAAACATAAGCTTCCTTATCATCTTTCTTATGCGGATATGAAACTGGGACACGAGGCGTCCTCTTCCCAACTGCACGAGGCTGGTCACCTGATTAAAATTGAAGTCAAAATAACAGAAAACAAGCTTCAGATGATAATCATATTTCAATTTATTTATACGATCAGAAAATATATTCAAGACAGTTCCATGATCATATAATGACACCAAACAGGAATATATGAACTAACACTGCAACAGGCTACATGCATGTAAACATTTTCTAATTGTTTTTTAATTTCTGTGGATTCTCATGAGCACTGAAAACCCATCGCCTTCCAAAGAATAAATATACTCTACTACTACACTGAAATTTAGGTTTCCAACATGGAAAAGAAATCCTAAACAAATATGACTGCATTAGTCACATTCAAAATCAATCAATCACTGAAACCATTTGAGCATCATTGGGTAGCGATAGGAAGACCTTCCAACCTATAAAAAGAAGTCCCAACCCTCACTCTCCCCCACCAAAACAAGGAAAAAAAAAAAGTTCTTCCAAATTCACCCGAAGCACTAAAAGAAAATCTAATATTCATTTACCATGGTAATCTACCATACAAAATTACTTCCTTTTTATTCTTTTTCTCCTCCCACTGAGATATACGCTAACATCTACACACCAACTCTCTTTGTCAATTTCCCATTTGATATTATGGACACTCTGTAGTATCACAAATCCAACAAACCAAACTTCTTATGTTATATTTCTTATTCCTCATCAACTTTAACTCTGCAACCAGAATATTAATCTTCAGCCATGCAAATGTAAAGGATATGAGGTAAAAGAACAATTAGTACAAAGAAATAAATATAGTTGATGCCCTAGTATGATGTTGTTCATCACATAAGGTATCCTACCATCAAGCTTTCTCCTTTTTACTAATGACAGGCATCCTTCAAGCGATGCACTTGGATGAGTGTGGAAAACATCTTTCGAGACACTGGGCTGATCTTTCCCAAGCTTGTGTTTCTGCAGTTTTTGAGAAAATCCTAAAGCATCATTGCTCTCTCTTTCACTATCGCTGCCTTCCTGTCAATTTAGAGGTAAGAAATTGAGTTACAAAGAGACACCTGATGAGTAGAAATATTCAAGTTCATACTAATATAGCACATACAAGACTATATAATGTGAAAAAAATGGATAGCTTTAATGACATTCATTCTTTTACGCGTACTGTGACATTGTTAGTAAACTTAAGAGCCCATGATGTGCTTCAAACCATATCAACAGTGACCCTCAGGTAGTAGTTTTGGAAATTAGAAAACCATCTCCAAGTAAAAACCCAAACATATTCCAAATAATGTTTTAAATCCAAAACCAGGGGACAAACTTGAAAGAGTACTCCAGTCTCACCATAACATTATAGTGATCTGTCATCATTGCTTTAAGGCCAACTACAGAAGCTGTCCCCTCTGGCAATGACAAATACGCCTGAAATCAGAAGCATAGACAATTCATATTGTCAGAAATGGTCAAAGACCACCTTATAATGAAAGTTTAATGATAAGGTTGAGGTAGCATCATGGAACACACATACTCGGTTCATATTGTAAAGAGCCTCCACCATCTCAATGCCTCTGTTGCGCACTGCAGCAGCCACCTAGAAATCCACAGAAATCAAATATATAAAAGATAAGGGAATAAAGAAAACATAAAGTGCATAAAAGAACAATTCATTTTAGCATAAACTACTATTAGTGTGACATTAAAGTAGGCAAATTGAAATTTGCCTACAATATGCTTCACCAAGTACTGTGCAATTAGCCTAAAGCTGATATATGGCAGTAGCACCACCAAACAGCTTTAGTTGTCAACAAAATTTCCAAAGGCAAATAGAACCAGGAAACGAAATACGAGCATACCTTCTTCCAATCTTTCCCATATTTTCTGTATGCATCATAAAAACGCTGAAGCTCTCCCCTTTTCCACTGCGGTCCCAACTTATCAGACAACTTTCTCTTCTATGCAAAAAAATTGAACAAACAAAACATCAGTTGATTTATGTAAGCAGTCTTCACAAATGCCGAAATGAAAAATAAACAAAGAAACCATGAGTTACCCGTTGCTTCTTTTTGTTTGACCCTCCGCCATATTTCTCCTGAGATGCCTCATTTACAGTTGCATACCGCTTTACACCTTTGGCTTTTCTTGTTGGGGCCATGGCAAGGTTTGCGTATCTGAAGCACATAACAAAAAATTCAGAACTGTATTTGCGCCACTGATTTAAAACATCTCCTATCCAGTGACGCCAACTACAGTTCGACAATCAACTAATCGCAACAATTCCACAATCAAAAATCTAAAAAAGCATGTTTTCTCTTCAAGAACGAGCCAAAACAGAAAAACCCATTTTTCTCTGAAACAAGTTAAGACCGATAACTAAAACCCAAAGCCCGAGATCGAGCATCAAACCACAAGGTACAACCACTTCAAAAAAATTAAAAAGCCCTGTCCTTTTTCATTACAAGTGATGAGGAACACGAACAATTTACAAAACAAACTCCTTCCCCTTTGCTTGCCATCATTTTCTCATGGAAAACTAAATTTTTGAAAACCAAACAGTCTGCAAAATTCAAATTCAAATTCAACCTCAAGCACAACCCACACACCAAATTCAGATACGGAAAAACCCTCAATTCCTCAAAAGCCCATCACATTTCGAGATCGACTCCCAAGATTCAAAAACCCCCTCCACAATCACTGAAACCTACAATACTCGTTCAAAAGAACCGCTTCCCACCACCACTTCGAAAATCAGCAAAAATTCAGAGTCATTCTCGAAGAATTAACTCCCAAAATTTCAAATTATTCAGAGCCGATGACTCTTTTCTAAACCCTAAAAATCAAAGATCGGAGGTACTTACTCGTCGTGAAGTTTATGAAGATCGGAATTGAACCATCAAAAAGAGGACAGCAGCGAGGGAGCTAGAGAGAGAGAGAGAGAGAGAGAGAGAGAGAGAGAGAGAGAGAGAGAGAGAGAGTGCGTGGTGTAGAGAGAGAATGAGATAGAGAGGAGGCGTTGCCGCGAAACTTGAATATAAAGGTGAGAATGCAGAGCCAATGAAAACTTTTTGTATTTTTTTTTTTTTGTATTTTTTTGAATTTTTTTTTTCATTAGAGTATCACAGAGCGTGTAGAAGATGAGGGCAAAGGAGGGAGAGTACGGAGTTTCTTTTTGTGGGGTGGTGATCGCCGTACACGTGGAAACGGTGAGGTATCTGGACGGTCTGAGGTCAGTGTGAGGTTTGGTGTGTGTACGAATGAGCACAGGGGATTGTATTTGAAAATATTCTGAATGCGTGGTTTAACAAATTTTAGTGTAAATTAATATATCAGTCAGATTCCTTTCTTTCGAGTTTGGGCCAGGCCCAACTTATGGGATAACGTTGACAGTTCTTGACCCAATACCACATGCCTTGTAAAACGAAGTGCGACGGGTTTTCTTAGGAGAAGTTAACAAAAAGTTTAACGGGAGAACTAAAATAAAATAAAATAAAAAGTTTTAAGTATGAAACTAAGACGTAAAAAATCCAAAGGTAGAAAAGTACGAATTTCACGATATTAGAGGATCGTAAAGCGAGAATTACCTAAAAATTAGATATTGAAGAATACTGTTTTGTACTACCAAAATGCACTGTGCTAAATATTAGTTTGACTCCAGACTGCATCAAAATAGCAGTTGCTTGCCTCCAAGTCATAGGGCTAATGGGAAAATCCAAATTCTAGTGGTACAAAACCACGTAAACTCTTCAATGGGTCACCCACCCATTCAATCAAATTCCAAATTCGTTTGAGCCAAATTCGTTTGAAATCAATACAAGGGCTCTAAAACCCCTCCAAGTTGTCATACACAAATTCTAATTAATGGGTCATTTTCCTATTAATTATTCAAATCTCAAATGGCACAAAGCTACGTCCAGTATCAAATGGCAAGAAACTGTAATAACTGCCAAATAGCACGAAGCTGCATCAAATTTCAAATTCTTCTTGCCACACGAGCTGAAACTGCACAAGGCATTAAAGATTCAAAACCTCAACAAATACGTCCAGAACTTCGCCGATTTGATTCAGTCAAGGATATGTGGGCAGTCTAGTCTCACATTCTAGACACAACTGCAAAACCCAAACACTAAACAGAATCCCTGGTTCATTTTCAACCAAATTCACATCAAATACAAAATCAAATCCCTGGTTCATTCAAACAAATTCACCCAAATAAACCAAACACCAAATCCTTTTTAGTGGGTCATTCACACACTGAAAATCCAAATACCAAATCAAAAGAACTATAAGTGACTTGATCCCTCAAACGGGTACGTAGGCCATCTAGGGCTCGACCTAGGTGCAGTCGCAAAATTCTCAAATTTCATATTTTTCATGTTAGAATCAAAGGGTATTCCTTTCTAAAAAGAAGGGTTGTAATTAATAAGCACATAGCCTAGAATGAGTCAAACTCAAATTAATAAAATCCTCTTCGTAAAAAATGAACGATGGTGAAATTGTGTCAAGTAAATTATTTGTTCTCGTAACAATACGCCCAATAGGACCCATTCTCCCTTTCATCTCTAAATTTGAAATTAATATACTTGTTATATTTTGTTTTAGAAAACGAAGAAGAACATGGCACCACAAGTAACTGTCTACTTCCACAAGCTTCCTGCAACTCAAGCCGAACTTGGATATGCAGGGCATGCTGGTCACTGAGTCTCATTCATCGTCGATCAAGCACCAACCATTTGCCGCGTGGTGACGATGAAAGTGGCAGCAAAGGCCAGCCAGGTGGCTGTCAAGATGATCAAGGTTGGATCAATGAAAAGCCCGCCCAAGACCGCTATAAAGAATGCAAGGAAGAGAGCCGGACGAGCTCTTACGAAGAAGATCACTAAGGATAAGTTATCGAAGACATCGAGTATTTATGAAGGGAGATTGCCAAAGCTGTTTCATCCAAGGACGCCAACATGCCTCGACACAAGATCGTCAACGTGATGTCATCACTGCCTACCAGGGTTCCCTTCATCACTCAAATCATTATTGGAACAATCCCGATCACTCTACCTACAACAGAGTCCGTCATGATGACCGCAGTCAAGGAGGATGAAGAAGTCCTGTTAACAGCGTCTGGAAATGTTTAACAAAAGGCCAAGGCTTACAAACTTGTCAAGGAAGGTGACAACATTCAATTCGATGGGCCTGTCATGCGTGCAAAGGCCCGAGCATTGGCAATGCACTTTCCCGAGAGTTCATATTCCCTTGAAGACAATCATGGAGGAAATGAATCTCTTCCCCAAAAAGAGATTCCCAGAGTAATGACTCAACTCCAAAGGTTGAAGATAGGTGAAGACGTCGAGTCTGGAGACATGTAAGTTCTGATGACTGGCGCATCAAACGCAGAAGAACAATTGCTGGAAATGCAACAGAAATTAGTGGAAAGAAAGCCTAAATGGCAGCTCTGGTGGCCAATAAAGAAGCAGAGATGGCAACCTTGGGCACTCAATTAGCCGCTCAAGTTAGCATGAATAATGCTGGTGTAAAAGAGAGACAAGGATAGAAATGGAAGGAGAAAGTTTTGGTAGTCCGCTCACGCATCAGGATATCGACGTGATAATCGCTGGGAAGATCCGTGAATTCTAAATGTCTTTAACACCAAAATTAAAGCATGTTATGTGCCTCGACTCAAAGTGACACCAAAATTTTCCTGCAATGGGTTCTGTTTTCTGCAGGGAACAATCTAAGAATTAAAGCATGTTATGTGTCTATGCATCATAAGAACTAGTGAGAGTATGTGGATGTAAGTTATTAGTTTGAAATACAACACCCTTTGTATAAGTTGACCATTGATCATGCCCATTTTGTTCTCGAGTCAAGTGGATTTGAGGAGTTGGGTTCCATGTATTGGACTCATCCTTTGTGCTGGCTGTTAGAGTCTATTATGGTGGATCATTGTTTGCAGCTGCTACCCATGCTCGTGGTCTTGAGTTTCATCCTATTTTTGTTCTGGTTGATGTTTCTTTGTTTTTTCTTCGTGGGTTTAGGCCTTGTTCACCCCCCCCCCCTTCCCCAAAAAAAATCCCAGCTTTTTTTCTTTTATTAGCGCTTTTAATTATTTAATAATTTTTGAGATAGGGGACGATAGGGTCTTTCTTTCAGGGGAGTTGGTCCTTTTTAATAACTATAAGTGGGAAGGAAGTAGTCTACTCTGTAGTTGGTGGATATTCCCCGTCTTGGGTTCTTTCTAACCGCCTTATGCAGGTTTAAAGAGTAAGGCTACAAGTTTAGTCAATGACCAAGTCTTATGTGTAGTTTAACTTGTTGTCTATTCCATTATCATCATTTCGTTTAAAAATGCTAAAATTGTTATAAGTTGGATGAAAGAACCATACATTCAACATTTTTTCCGTTCTTGAGACAATTCTTTTATTAGTTGGATGTAACCAACCATTCCTAATTGGTTATTGTTCTTAGGCAAAATTGTAGATCTCGTTGTTTTCTTCAAATCCATATATATGTTATGAGTCTAAAATTGACATGTTAAATGAAAGTAGAGCTAATTCAAACAACTTGAAAAATTCAAAATGCCCACTTACACAATATGACAATAACAAATAACCTGTAAATTACTAATTTTTCAATCACTTTTTAATTAAATGGAGGTTAAAAAAATAAAAATAAAACACTTTCTGCGGTTAATATGACACCAATCTCGTCCTCCGTTAGCGCACAAGACGGAATTTAATTCAAAAAGAGGAAGTGAATTCATTGAATGGTAGATTTGATTTTTTTCCTCCATTTGAGAGTGGGTTTTTGTTTTGATTTTAGAAACTGGTGGAGTTCAGAAGACACAAGTCCTTCTTCAACATTTTTCTCACTTTAGGTGGGAAAGAGGGAGTATGATTTTTTTCTCCTTCTTCTGTTCTCTCTTTTTCTCTATTTTATTTGAACGATCATTATTAAATTATATTAATATTTTATATTAATCTTTATAAAAAGAGAAAGAGAAAATAAAAAATGTGAGAAAATGAAATGAGATGAAAAGAAGAAATGAGAAAATCTTAATCCGGAGAGACGAGCAAAAAGCTGCTGTGACTCCCAACTCCTCCAAGTCTCGATCATGTCAGAGGTGGGCTCATGTGCGTCATCCATGTTTGACTGTTAGTGTCCCCCTATGGATCCGAATCTAGCTAACCACAAAAGGTGAGAGGTTAAATTAAGAGAGTTTTAACGAAAAGTCCGTAATATTGTTTATTTTAACGAAAAATCATATTTTTATATAAAATATCAAATCTAATACTATTTATTTTACTCTTTATTTTATCCTTATTATTAAAACTCAAAGTTTTCAAGCATTTTTTATTAATTTTCTTTTAAATTAAACTACTGAGACCACAGATAGAAACGCCATCTCCAACCAGGATGGTTATAGGATTATAGGCCAAAGAATAGTCATTTTTGACACAAAATTCATCTCTAATAGAGGTCTGAGCCAAAAAACTTTGAAATCCACAGGGTCAAAATCCAGCCATATGGCCAACGGGCTTGCCATTCTTAGCCAGCCAGTTAGCCTGTTCAATTGGTCCATCTAGATTTTTTCTTCTTCTTTTTAAGACGAAATTAAAAAAAAAATTTTAATTCTAATTTTCTTCGATAAATATCTAAGACATTTCTACACAATTTCTCATATTTTTTTCACCCTTCCATACTATCTCACCTCATTTTATTTCAATTCTTCACATTTTATTCACCTCAAACACTCTTTTCTACACACTCCTTTCTTACCTCTTCCAATAATCTTTCCTTTAACTTTTTCAATAATTTTCAAATGGTCACATCTTCAAGTGGCAGCTAAAATTTGTAAGGAGGCTTATTCATTTGAGGACAAGTGGCACTCAAAATATGTCAGGAGACTTATTTTAATATGGTAGTTTAATTCAATTAACTAATAAAATTAAAGAACAAACTTAAAATAATAAATTATTGAGGGAGCTAAAAAATAGGCTCATTCGGTTGAAGATGTTATAATGGTCTGGTATTGTTCATTAAAAAATAATTTTTTACAGTGCTATAATCTGGACGGGGCTAAACATAATCCCTTCGATTAGAGATGCCTTACTATCATGTTCACGAACCGAACTGTTTTTCTTCAAACCAGAACTTGTAAGACACATTCGTTATTAGTTCCAAGTCCCTTGCCAATACCTTAGTGAGTGACTATTGCGAAAATTAAACTAATCAAAATTAGTCCAATTTAGTTTCAAATTTTATGATTGCAAGTGTATGAATCATCAAACTAAACTTTATGCTCGAAAGTGTATGAATTGTTCTACACTGTACACTTTATATCATCCCACATAAATCAATCTAATTCTCATCGTCAAACTCAATTCAATTTGCAACTTACTTTTAGCAAATGTTCAACCTCATTGCTAGCCAAATTCTCCTAACTCATGTAATATCTATACCATCTAGATTATTACATATATTCCAATATAAACCCTTCATGGCATCTCAATTAGTTTAATATAACAAAATTCATCATAGTCGATGAGAATTTATATAAAAACTACACAAATCCTAGAGAATGGCATCTACCAGGTAAGTCGTGGTATCCATTTGCAGGACCTCTAACTCAAGTTGAAAACATGGCATTTGCACAACTTGCATCAAATTACCAAGTAAAAATCAAGATGGTATCTAATACTAAAACCAAGCATATAAACACATCAAACGATACTCGATGAATTTGAAAATAATCCACGTCAGATTCTAAGCATTCATGGTCATGGCTACATGTAGCCTTAGCTAAGAAAAAATTCTGAAACATCATGTAAAACATTTCAAACAATCATGAAAACAAGAAATTTAAAGTTCAGAAAACCCTGAAATTCTCCTTTCTCTGCTGCACCTTGCCGCTGCTCTCTGTACAGTTGAATATCCTCTTCATTTGCCACACCCAATCCTTCTGGGCCGCGGGTTTGTTGTCTCCATTTGTGTCTCCTCTCTAACTTTTTGGCACTTTTTGCCACAGCATTACTGATTATGACTGTGGAGATACGGGTTAAGACGATTTCAATTATTGGCCGCAACCCACTTCTCTGATTTGAAGTGCGAGGAAGAAAGAGAAAGGGCAAAGAGATCAGCTTCGCTGTCGATGAGGAGCTTTGCGCCGAAGGATCGGACTGGTTAAGGGTATGTGGTTGTGGGGTAATTCGGGGGATGCTAATGTTTTTCTTTAATCCTAGTGTTTTTTTAGAGAATTGTTATTGGCACTCCAAAAATTTCATTATACACTCCAAACTTTCCAAGGAAAGAAAAATACGCTTATGAAGAGTGTAGAATGAGATTTTTGGAATGTCAATAACACTTCCTTTTTTTTAATGCTAACATTGTTAAATCATGTTAAGTTGAAGCACATATGTCACAAAGTTAGAAATGAGACATTATGGAGACACTAGTTTAGGGACAAAAGACCTCTGGCCATCCTTTTGTACTGCTGCCAAAGACTCTCCTAATGTGTAGGATGGAAAGCCCATCACACCAACGCCCATAAGAGCATTTCCACTAGTCAGTGAAAAGCAAGGACATGTAAGTTTCTCTTGCTATTCACTTTGAATAGTACTTGCCTTTGTGCAACTTCTTCCATCTAAAAAGGGTAAGGGCAAAGACAAGTACTAGTCACAAATATTTTTATTATTTTTGTGCTTAGAAAATAAAACGATCGTTTAATTCTAATAAATTATTTCAAATGTAAGGCAAAAGTTTAACATTACCTTAAATTTTTTTTATCGTTGAAACATAGTTGGGTATTGATAGAATAATATTAAATATAATTTTTTTTTTTTTTTGTAATTTTTGTACATTTCCTAACCGTTCATTTTCAACTCATCTGAAATCGATGCCCCAGAGCGCGCCACATGTTCAACGATAACATTTTCAAATCTTTTACCGTTGGAAGTTTAACGGTTCAGATCTTCTAGCTGTTGGAAATTCACAGTTTTCATTTGGCCATGTGTCCCAACCGTTGAAAAAGTCTGAGTGCTTTGCTGTACTGGGCCTCATCGCTGTAGTGTTGTTGGCCACTCTCCTTTGCTATATGCCAGACATAAAAAATAATAAAATAGTGGCTAACGTCAGCCTTATGCTGGGGAGTTGCACGAGCTTGAGAAGCTCGGGTGTTTGGGCGGGCAATAGTTGGCTCACCACTTGCCCTTGATTTTATGGACTACTGGAAGGGTTTTTTGGGCTGGAGGGCAACATTTTTGCCTTTGCCCTTACCTTCACCAACAATAACATTTTTAAATATGTACAGTTGATTTTTGCAACGTTAAAAAATAAAACGCAGTAGCACATATTTGTGAGACTCGTGCTTTGACGTGTTGTCATCATGGTTGCTCTGCAGCTTGCACATGGTGACCTTGTTTTCGGAACTGGATCCCCTCCAGATCTCAATAATTTGAGCCTAATGATCAATGAATCCGGACCGTTGAAATTTGATCAAACGGCTACAAACAGGTGGCCCCTCTAAAAGTTATAATAATTGTAGCCATTGGATCAAATTTCAACGTCCCAGATTCATTGATTTGTGGGCTCAGATTATTGGGATCTGGAGGGGATTCGGTTCCCTTGTTTTCCACTAAAAATTGGATTGGGTCCTACCTAACTTAGTCTCTATGTAGTCCTCACACGTGCGGGTTTCTTTGAGATCCGGCAAGTCACTATACTTGGGATATTTTGCGGGTCTTTGTTTCTGCCCATTGAAAGCCTTTGTCCTTATATTTAAAGTTAGGCTAAATAGCCAAAATGGTTCCTGAGATTTGCATAATCAATAGAAATGGTCCCTGAAATTGAAAATCAATAGAAATGGTCTCTAAGATTGTCCACCATCCATGATTTTGGTCATTCCGTTAAAAACTCTTTGGGCAATTTTCAAAGCTTCATAACTCAATCGATTCTTAACCACATCCGACTCATAATATATCAAAATGAAGATAGGAAAGTGTAGAATAGGATTATACCTATTTGGAAGCCCAATGGTTGTTAGAGATGGCCGGAAAATAGCCTGAAACGTGATTGGTCCATGGGAAAACTGGAAAACTTGCTGGAAACTGGGTAAACTTTAAATGTTCATAACTTCTTCAATACTCAACGAAGTCGAGTGATTCAAAAATGAAAATCATTCTTCTTGACGAGACGAAGATAATGGTACCTTTCTCGATGGCTGACTCGCCATGATTTGGCCAGAAAATGGCTCGAAATTGGCTAACTATTTTCCAATTAGCCACTTTCGAGCCCTTTTTCGGCCAAACCACGACGAGTTAACCGTCAAGAAAGATATCATTCTCTTAGTCTCGCCAATAAGTATGATTTTTGTTTTTGAATCACTTGATTGCGTTGAGTATTGAAGAAGTTATGAATGTTTAAAATTTACCCAGTCTCCAGCGAGTTTTCCAGTTTTTCCGCGGACCAGTCACCTTTCATGCTTTTTTTTGGCCATCTCCGGCAACCATTGGGCTTCCAAATAGTATAATCTTGTTCTACACTTTCCTATCTTCATTTTGATATATTATGGGCCGAATTTGGTTAAGAATCGATTGAGTTACGAGGTTTTGAAAATTGCCCAAAGAGTTTTTAACGGAATGACCAAAATCATGGATGGTGGACAATCTCAGTGACCATTTTTATTGATTTTCAATCTCAGGGACCATTTATATTGATTATGTGAATCTTAGGGACCATTTTGGCTATTTAGCCTTAAAGTTATATGGTTGTAAGGACTCCATTTAGGATCCCCATTGAAACACTCTTAAGGAATGTCTAAGCTCCAGCAACTCCAATTGACTAGAAATTAAATAAATGATATAAAACCTCCATCTCATTCCACTAGCCCCAAAAATATAAAAACATGTAATTATAATTCACACCAGCAATTGTACACACATGATTATTAAAATCTTAAAAACAAAATTTACAAAGAGAGAAAATATAAATAGTTGTTAAATTTTTTTGGTGACGAACTTTGAACGATTTTTTGTCGTTGAAGAGGTTGTTCATACCTTAGCGATAACTATTTTGTCACCAAATGTTTATTTTATTTGAGAGAAAAATAATAAAAACCTGATTGTGAGGCTTTGGAAAAACAGTAAAATTATTTTGTGTTTAATTTACTTTATTGCCCATAACTTTTAATTATTACTACCAATTATAATAACTATGTACTCATCAGTGACTGTTGATAGAGTTGAAGTAGCTAGCGTGATAGCGAGTCTGTCGGAGCTGCAATTTTCTAAGGTTTTCGTTAAAAATTGCCAAACAAGCTAATTTAGCGAGTTTGTTGGAGAAGCTCTTAGGAGCGCATATTTTCGTCAAGATTGGGATTTAACAAGGCGCATTAGTTGTGCTCGAAGTTTTGGATCAAGAATTAATGGTGAGTTTATCAAACAGAAGAGACATCTCCTCAATGATTAGAGATGGTTAGGAACTTCAGCAAGTCTCCCAAGAAGGAAGCAAATGGCTCATGCAGCATATATGCTTGAGAAAATTGTATATCTGCAAGAGAGATCATAATTAAACTCATCTAGGTTATATATATGTAGTTCTTCATGACTCGTATTTGGAATTTATAAAGTAAATCTTACATTTTTATGCTGGAAAAGAAAAACAAAGGAAAAGATAAAATAAATTGGCACAAAGAAGCATACAACATAGTAACATTCTATCTGCATAGCAAAAAAATAGAAACGAACCACACAAACTCGCTCTATCTGCACCAAAAAGTTAATAACGTTCAATGATTGCAGTATAGAGCTTCTTCACAATGCGATTTTGGAATTGACACAATGCATTGCTCCATGGCACATTAGATAACAATGAACCAAGAACAATCCAAAACCCTAATGCAAATCCAAGCCCCAAGCTCAGATAGAACCCACCGTCTTTAAGTAAATGACCTTCTCCGTGCTTCTCATCACCTGCCGGTGGCATGGCCTCATTTGTATTGCAACGCTCTTCCAATGGAGGTCCGCAAAGTTTATTACCAAAAAAACTAGACAGATCAAAGCTTTGGAGCTGAGTGCTTTTTGGAATCGGACCAATCAGATTGTTATAGGACAAATTCAGATAACTGAGAAATGTCAAATTTGAGATGCTTGGAGAAATTTCGCCAAAAAGTTGGTTTACAGACAAATCAAGCGATTCTAACGATCCCATATCACCGATCTTCGAAGGGATCCTTCCAGTCAGAAGATTATCAGATAAATTCAACGTTTGTATGCCACCGAGGCTGGTCAGCTCTTCAGGGATTTCTCCAGATAACATGTTGCTTGAAAGGTCCAGAGTAACTACCAACCCAAGCTTTGTGTCATATTTCACTTCTCTGCCCTTGGTCACAAATACTACATTATCCATGTAGGTCTCCACAAAATAATCAAAACCATCAAAACCATCAAACTCAACTCTGAAAACTTCAATACGGGTATATCCGCTAGCACCTAAAGAGGTAGTGGCCATGGATGACAAATTTTGAAAACATCTTGGTATTGTTCCTGAGAGATTGTTATGCGCAAGGTCCAAGATTTGGAGAGATGTGAGACTACAGAGTTCATCTGGAATGGCGCCATGGAACTTATTTGAATGAAGACTAAGAACTACCAATCTTTGGCCGAACCATATTGGAATGCTTCCAACGAACTTGTTTCCACCAAGGTCAAGAAGTATCAACGCCTCACAGTTTTGTAAGGACACTGGTAATTCTCCAGATAGGTTATTATTGCGCAAGTGCAATGATCGAAGGAAAAGTAAGTCTCCAATAGAGCTCGGAATTTTCCCCATCAAATTGTTGTTTTCTAAGTTCACACTAGTCAAATTTCGCCAGAGTAACCAACATTCAGGAATTTCTCCAGTGAGGAGATTGTTGCCAAGACGAAGAAGTTGAAGGTATTTAGGTACTTCACTCCTATCACATAAGAAGTGAGAGAGAGTCCCCGAAAATGATGAATTGGAAAGATCTAGTGTAGTCACTGAAGAAGACACAAGAGGCAATGAACCGTTGAATTGGTTAGATCCTAAGTCAATTACAACCTTTGACATAAAGGGATCAAAATGCTTTTGTTTTGGCCAGTTGGCGGAAACTATGTTTGGAACCTCCCCAGATAACTGATTATGCGAAAGATCCACTAAGGTATATGAAATTATGCTGTCTTGGTTTTCACCATGCGAGGAAATGTTCCACAACCAAGGCGAAATGGTACCTGAAATTCCTGTATTGGACATGTTAAGACTGGACAAATGTTTTTGACTCTTAAGCCACCCAGGCAACTCTGATGGGTATAGACACCAAGAACCTAAACTCAAGATCGAAAGTTGAAAAGGAGGAACCCAGTTTGGGCTGGTTTTAAGAGTCAAGGAGTTCTCATGTGCAGAAAAGATGTTCAATCTTGTAAGATTAGCAAAATGAACTTCAGAGACAACACCCTCGAATGAATTGGTATGAATGACCAGATCCTCCAAGTGTGATAGATTTCCTAAGGACATTGGAATGGGACCTGATATTGAATTCCTTGAAAGAACAAGATAGCGTAAATTTGTAAGACTTCCTAGTTGATCAGATAGATGACCTGAAAAATTATTCTGTGAAAGATATAAATTATCTATTTGACCAGAACTACACCGAGACAAACTTTCAAAGATTTTTGATACCCTCCCTCTAAAATTGTTCAAACGTAGATCAACAAAAGTCAACTTACAAAGATTTCCCAATGAATTTGGGATTTCCCCTTCAAGCTGATTTCTACCTAAGTTAAGATAAGATAAACAAGTGCTGTCAAGTTTCCAAGGGAACTCGAAATGTCACCTTGGAAAGCATTGAGAGAAAGATCTAGGAACTCAAGATGGCCCAAACTGTACAACCATTTAGGTATGGTAGAGTTGAAATGGTTCAAGGGTAGATCAAGAACTTTAAGACTAGTCAAGTTTGCAATACCACTTGGTATGTGATAAAGTTCGCAGCTAGACAAATGTAACTCCACCAGCAGAGAAGGGAGTGTGTTTACTTGTAACCAATGAGATACGTTGGTAACATCTACATAACTCATGTCCAGATGTTTCAAGAGAGAAAGACCAGAGAGCCATTCGAGGTTGTCGACCATCGAATCAAAGTTATAAGAAAGGTCGAGATAACGTAGACTTGAGATATTTCCCAATTGATGAGGAATGGTTCCCTCGAACCCTGCATGCGAGAGGTTAAGATATCTTAAACCTTCAATAGAACCTAGAAAGCTAGGAATCTGTAGTCCTTCAAAATTATTGTAGCTTAAGTCTAAGTAGCTGAGATGCTTTAAATTGAGCAGAGAAGGATTTATCTTACCACTCAACCCATGTGTCTCACCAGTCACTTGATCATAATAACCAGCAAGGTGGAGCTCACGGACATGACCGGTTAAATTATCGCAGGCAACACCGGTCCAGTTGCAGCAATCGCCTTCACCAACCCAAGAGGGAAGCAGATTTGAGGGATCATCAATATCTTTCTTGAACATAAGAAGTGTTTGTCTGTCATTTTCTTTGCAAGGCACATTCTGGTTTCCTTTGCATAAGCTAACTGTGATAGATGCGATGCATAAAAACCTGACTAGTGAAACAACTCTCATGACTCTCTCCATAGATATCAAGTGATGGATGTGAGTAATGATGGATGTGAGTAATGAGTACTTTAGAGTGCTATATATACACATTAGTAAGAGTTTAGGGCCAACCTTTTATAATAATCATTTTCCAACCTTTTCTCGCAAACCTTACTACGAGATCTCAAGACTTACAATATATACGTAAATACATATATAAATTATAAAAAAAAATAAAAAATTGCATTACAAGCGATATTATTATTCTAAGTTAAACTACGAGAAAGGAGAATGAATTAAATGTGGAACGCGGTGGGATAAGGAGAAAGATCTTATTCATTAGAGCAATCCACCAATTGCATATATAATTATATATCTCATAATATTTTGTAGCTCTCTCTTCTTTCTTTTTTTAATTTTTTTTTCCAATGAAAAATATAATTTTATGAAAAGAGCTTCATTTTTCTCCATCCACACCCACTAGAATGGTAGACAAAGTTGGTATGGAAAAATTGCATGTCAATCAAGAGATATAAGACAACAAGGTCGGTCCATCCCCAAGACTAATTCCAGGCAGTGATGGTTCAAATTTCAACCCCAAAAGAAAAGTCATCTAGAAGACAAATCATGTATCAGACTGGTGCCTACACTTAATTAGTATTATATAGGAATTTTTGAGGGAAGTGATTTTCATTTTTGTTAAAAAAATAGGAAGTGTTAACTTTGCTGATCATCGTGTCGAGACATTATGACGAATTAGCTGAATATGTTCTTATAGTGCTCATTAAAATATAATTTTATGAAAAGAGCTTCATTTTTCTCCATCCACACCCATTAGAATGGTAGACAAAGTCGTTATGGAAAAATTGCATGTCAATCAAGAGATATAAGACAACAAGGTCGGTCCATCCCCAAGACTAATTCTAGGCAGTGATGGTTCAAATTTCAACCCCAAAAGAAAAGTAATCTAGAAGACAAATCATGTTTCAGACTGGTGCCTACACTTAATTAGTATTATATAGGAATTTTTGAGGGAAGTGATTTTCATTTTTGTTAAAAAAATGGGAAGTGTTAACTTGTGTTGATCATTATGTCGAGGCACTATGACGGATTAGCTGAGTATGTTCTTATAGTGCTCATTAAAATGAACAAGTGGACGCAAACAAAATATGATTTGAAGTTAAAACGAAAATTCTACGGATCATTAAATTTGAGGTATTTTCGGTAATTTTATCCATTTATGAAGAATTCTATAGGATTGTTTAGGGTTCACAGGGATCCACATGAAATTATTTTTATTCTTTTTGTTTCTCTCTTTGGATGATCTCCACCTCATCGACTTCCCCTCTCGGTCACACACAGAGTCTAACACCTCTCAATATTCTCATAATATTCCGTAGCTCTCATTTTTTTTTTTCCAGTGAAAAATATAATTTTATGAAAAGAGCTTCATTTTTCTCCATCCATCCCCACTCGGATGGTAGACAAAGTCGTTACGGAAAAATTGCAAGTCAGTCAAGAGATATAAGACAACAAGGTCGGTCCATCCCCAAGACTAATTCCAGGCGGTGATTGTTCAAATTTCAACCCCAAAGAAAAGTCATCTGGAAGACAAATCATGTATCAGACCGGTACCTACCCTTAATTAGTATTATATAGGAATATTAAGGAAGGAGATCTCTATTGTTGTTAAAAAAATAGGAATTAGTTAGATCATCTCCAATGGTGGCCTAAAACCTAAAAATATTTAGCTTAGAAAATTTAGGTTTTAGCCCAGAAACAGCTTTTCTACTCCAACCCTTCTGGCTTAAAATTTTAACCCCAGATTATCAAAGAATGAATTAAGACTATTTTTTTTTAAATTAACTTTTTTTAAGAAAAAATTTATGTAGACTATCCTAAATTAATTTTATGAACATTTTAACTTAAAAATATTTAAATTCCGATAATTTTGGAAAAATCACTAAATCAATACAGGAAAATCAAGATAAACCACATAAACTTAGTACCAACGACATTTAATAAACCACATAAACTTAAAAAATAAAAAAGACAATTAATAAACTACATAAACTTAATACAATCGAAAACTCATAGACTACATAAACTTAATACAACCGTTAGATCTTTTTTTTTACCGTTAGATTTGATTATATTCGATCTAAGCCGTTGGATTCAATAAATATATAAATATAAAACTAAAAAAAATAATAATTTGAACCTGGACCATTGGATTAACCAACAGCCCATTTAAATTCAGCCGTTGGATTGAAAAAAGTAGCCGTTAGGCTACACAGTCGGCTGACACCCAGGGGACAACCCCACGTGGGTGGGCCCGGCTTCTGTCATTGTCTGGCGCGTGCAGGCATGATCTCTCTGTCTGGGCGAGTGGAAGCTGGGCAGTGGGCTTCACAGCCCTTGTTTCAGTCTCAGTCGGTGGGACCCATTTTGCTTTGTGGCCTAAAATTGGGCTGGTATTTGGCCTCAGAATAAGTTTTAGGTTTTAGGTTAATTTTAGGTCATGGGTTCGAGTAGATTTTTGGGGGGGTGGGGGGAAGGGAAATTTTAGGTTTTAAGTCATTGTTGGAGATGGTCTTATAGGGTTTACATCACATCGAACTTTAACGATCCGAACCGTTTATTTTTAAAGTTGCACCTCATAGATCATTCTTACAAAATATTAGCCAAATTGGAAAATTTTAAACATCTAATTGGATTCAAATAAATTAACGAATACTTTGTTATATAAGAAACAATGATTTCAGATTAAATTGGATTTTTGTAAGGATGATTTATGAATCAATACTTACAAAATAGGTATTTTGAATTGTTGAAGTTCGATATGAAATGAATCCCACACTTAAACTCCATTTTTTGAATAATATAAAAATCTCTTTTCATAAAGGGCCTGAGTATTAAAAATCATTTTTAAGAAGAGAATTGAACTGTTGACTGGCAAACTATTTTTGAAATCGAAGGATTTATTTGTTTGCAGTGGAGATTAGTTAATCATCAAACTTTTTTATTAATTATATCTTGGTCGGTTTGAAAATTGTCCACGCTGCATTGAAGATAACAACTACCCTTCCTTTGAAAATAAAATAACATTATCATTCTTCATCAGTCATATCTTTTAGGTAAACACTGTTCCTCCCTAATTTATTACCGTCAGTCAAGAGGAGAGAAAAAAACAAGATGTTTGTGTAGACATGTAAATTTCGTTGCATACAAATGATGCATTACAAGGCTCTAAGTGACATATAACTCATCACAAATGGACAAGTCATCAATAACATGTGGCACAAATCAAGCAAGGGAAGAATAAAACTTCCCCAAAATTCGGCAAAAGGGGGAATCTCTCCTTAAAATTGGCAAGGGATCCAAAGTGCTCCTAAAACCGAAAAGCAAGCTAAAGCATCTTCATAAAACAAACAAGAATTGAAGATGGCTCACAAAATAGGCAACAAGCCCTATAGATTTTGGCCAAGCAAGGGGAAGTGGTTGAAATTAAGACACAAAACATGTCTAAATTCTTCCATGGACGAATCAAGACACAAATCAAAGCCAAATCCATCCAAATGCAAGCTTTGAGTCTATAAATACAAGATCCTCATACACACACAAAGGTCGACAATTTTATACATTCAAGGTCGAAATTCTCACATTGAGAAGAACCTCTGCACAAATCTTTGAAGTCTAATATACTGCCAAAACTCTCTTCGAAGAATGTACAACCAAAGTCGAAGCATTCCCTTGAAGAATCAACAAACACTTGTGCCGATTCCTTCAAGACTTTGTTACGAGTTCAAAACTTGTAACGACATTCGATTCAAGATCAAGTCGCCAAGACCCTTGAATCAACAAAAGCTAACATCCACATCATCTTTGCCGCAGCCCTAAACCTGAGGTGAAGACTATCCATGCATTGTTTCAAGCTCAAAGCTTGAAGCAATCGTTCAATTGTTCGTCTGAGATCAAGTTATCGTGACCCTTGGATCGACAATCAACCATCTACATCAAATTTGAAGATCGAATCAAAGGAAAAGTTGTAAACAGAGATTGTAACCTACAAATTCATTAATACAAATCTCCTTTGTACACGTGTTCTCGTCTCATTCGTTACAGAATTTTTGTGTTTACAGTTTAGACCTAAAATAAGTTCGGGCCTATACAAGGCCAAATGCCTTTATTATGTTACGACTAGTCCTGAAAATATTTCTATTTTATTCTTGAAGGTGTGAAACGACCAAAATGCCCCCTAGAAGGAAAAGTGTTAACTTGTGTTGACCATCGTGTCAAGACATTATGACGGATTAGCTGAGTATATTCTTATAGTGCTCATTAATACGAACGCGTGGACGCAAACAAAATATAATTTGAAGTTAAAACAAAAAATTCTACAGAACATTAAATTTGAGGTATTTTTGGTAATTTCATCCATTTATGAAGAATTCTATTGGATTGTATAGGGTTCACAGGGATCCACATGAAATTATTATTTTTCTTTTTATTTCTCTCTTTGGATGATCTCTACCTCATCGACACTTCCCCTCTCGGTTACACACAGTCAACACCTCTCAATATTCTCGAGGAATCGAACCACATCACCACCATTACTTCTTCTCCTCGTCACCATGACCTTGGGTTTTGATTCGTGAAAAATGAAGCACAAATGTTTTGTTTTTGGGAACTCACAAAAGAACTTTTCAGTAGGTCACCTATTCTGGAATTGCTCTCGTGCAAACTCGCTTAACTTCAGAGTTTCTACGAAATCCGAAACCAGTGAGCTCTCAAAAAATCTCGTGCTAGGTAGAGATGAGAATATACATATAAGGCATAGAAGATTCACTTCCCTGGACAATATAGGATGTTACATCTAACCCAATTATACTAAACTAAACAATTCCTAACAATTAAACTAAAACATAAAACCTCAATTTAAACCCCTAATTGGTGATTAAGACAATCACAATTCAATTATATAATGGGTTCATAACAATATTCCCCCCTTGAAAATTAGTCTTGTCCTCAAGGCTTAAAAAATGAACCATGGGAACTTGTTTGAACGAGCAGCACTTAGAACATGTCTTCAACGAATGATCGCACCAATTGGCAGCTAGGATTTTCTTTGCTACAGAGAGCCATTGGCCTTACCCACGATACCCTTCCTTCGTCATCGCCCACCCCTTTTGTATCTATTCATTCGTTAACAACATTTGCTTCACCAAATTAATATCAATGGTGTCGTGAATTCCCGTATCGAAAGCAAGCTTAAGCTTCGTCCAACGCCATCTGTGCAAACATATAGTGAGAGAGTCCCAATCAAGACTACTTGTTCTTAAATTTTAATTATTTATTTCTTATTTTGATTGTGAAAATTCCAATAAGATTGGCAAGCAGCAAGCCAAAGCAAAGTTTATTCTTCCAAATTTTCAGAAAACTATTTGGTCCTATTACAACTATTGATTCATGTAATTGATTTAGTAGCATATGATACTCTTACTATTTCTGTAAAACGGTTTTTAGAAGCAAGATTATATGATACTATTAACAAAAGCTTTGCATGCGTGATGGACTTCATAGTTTCCTTATGACCTTACAATGATTTTGAACCTCCAATTTGATCCAACATGTACTTAGTGTTCGGTATCGGTCTTGGGAGGGTGATTGAATTTAGTTATGCCTTTAATCAAATTAAAGTGTGTTTCCCTATTGGGGGTTGTACCTAACTACTCAAATTTCCATCCATATCCAACGAGACATAAAGGAGTACATAAAGTAAAGAAGGACTTATACCCTTTTACAACGTACTTGATCTGATCAAATGATTCAAATTACAACCAAAATCAAATCTACGAATTCTCATAGTTCAAAAAAATTTGATGACGGCCGATCACATAACTCAATCATCATAGGCTTAGGTTCATAATCACCATTTCTATAATTAACCAATCACATTAATCAATTAAACTATAATGACACAAATCAATTGATTTTTGGACTCATGGATATAATCTTAAGGGAACTAAGTACAAGAATCAAATTCTCATCAAATGAGAAACAATTTGCCCCTCATCAAACTTATGGCTTAGGTCTTAAAACTATATGCATACTACCCGAAGCTTTGTAATGTTCGATATTTGGTAAGAATTCATACGTTTAAACTTCTTAAATGATCAGTGTTCAGGGAACTTATTCAACAGATATGCACTTGTAGTAGCACGAGACCATGCTAACCTTAATGCGCTACCAACCATTCTTGATGGTCAATGTCCAGTTACTGTGCATGAAACCAAGAAGATTGGGTTATAGCGGTTCTCACAATAAAATACATCATCCGATCCAATTATATCGATTTTAGAATGTATGGATTTGATCGGAAAGTATGGATTCAACTGAATCCGGCAAATCGTTGAACCGGTGAAATACCCCTACTAGACCTTGAACACCCCTACTAGTAATTCCAACCGCAAGCAAAACTTGCCATAGTAAGATGCAGAAGTTACCATTGAAATTTACAAAATCAGAAACTAAAATCGGAAGAACTTGGATCGAAGTAACGTTGATTCAGTGTACGAAACAAGATTATTGTCAGAACAGCTCAACTTGAAACCCTGCTCGAGGGAAGAGACTCGAGAATTCCGTCTGATACATGGATTAAAGGTAAACCTGATTCCGGTATGTGCTGCCAGTTGTAAACTGACCCAATGTCCACCTTCGATTGCTGGCACTCCTTTCCATCTGTATAAGTTGCAACCGTTTGCCTGAGGAACCAACAATCGAAGCCTCAGCAAAGCGAACCAAGCACTGCCATTCCAATCATGGAAAATGGATCTATCTTTCAATAACGCGTCTGCTGTTTCTAAATTCTTCAGGCCCCCTGTCCTTGTCCCTCCCATAGTCATTAACCCTTCCACGCTCCTGCTTTCCCAATCCTTCTCTTCTAGGTCCCTTAAATTTATGTGTATCGGCCCCTCTGTTACTCATTCTTTGCCCATCAAAATTGTTCCCCCGAAATTCTTTGTTACTGCCGCGAGATCCTCGTGCTGATCTATCAAAATCATCATTGAACGAGTTCCTCCCACCACCCTTTCCAAATCCTTCTCTTTTAGGACCGTTGAATCTCCGTGTATCACTACCTCTGTTACTCGTTCTCGGCCCATCAAAATCATTCCCTCGAAACCCTCTACTATTACTACGAGACCCTCGTGTTGATCCATCAAAATCATCGTTGAAGGAGTTTCTCCTACCCTTCATTCCATTGGATTCAAATTGCGTCTCTCTGGTAAAGTTAGGGCCGCCACGACCTTTGAAATTGTTTTCTTTATTCCTTCTTGGCCTATTTTTATGAGATTGAAAATCATTGTCTGATTCTGAACCAGAAACTGAATCATCTTCAAAATCTAAATTTCCTCTCCTCTGAAAACCTTTTTTCTTAGAATCCAAATTATTTGATTTACCTCGCCTGGCTCCAAAGTTTTGATCTAGATCATCATCCGACAGCCCAAGTTCATCATCAGAACCGAAGCTTAATCTCTTGGATGGACCAGGTTTAGTTCTACCCCTGCCTTTTGATCTAGAATCAGCAACATGACTAGATTTCCAGTTGGGATGGACTGAAAGCTCTTTGTCAAAATCTACATCAAGTTCATCATCATCCGAAACAGAGAATGCTGCCCCTTGACGTGTAGGCTTAGATGGCTTATTGTATGGCGATTTTTTTCTTTGACGACCTTGCAAGCTATTGTCAGAATTTTCAATGTCTTCTGTTTCGGGCCCTTCAAACTCAGAAAAATCAATTGAAGCATCCTGTGCTGAAGTTTTATTGCGAGTGTCTAACTCGTAATTGTCAACATCATCATCTTCATCATCAAAATCATCAAACCCTCTCCCTGGCCTAATAGTATCAGCATCGGAGTATTCTTCATTGTTGACCCTTGGTACTCTGCTATCTTTACTCAAATTGTATTCACGGTGTCCAAAATCTTGTCCTTGAGCCTGGTTACCAAGAGAATTTTCATCCCTAACAGAAGAATCTGCATACTCAAAAGCAGCAACATCTGCTCCATCTGACTCATTGTCATCAAAATCAAAATTCCAGGCATTAGCATCCCCATGAAGAACAGCCGTCTTCTCCATTCTTGTCCTAGGGCCACGTTTCACTTCTTGCACTTTGTTCTCCAGGTATTCATCCGGTGGACGCTTGCAATCACAATGAAAACATGCCATATTTCTCCTGTAATTTAAGAAGTTGCACCTGCCATGTAACAAGACATAAGAAAATCAATAATCTCATAAACTAAAAATAGAATAATTTGTATTTGGGAGCAGATCTAAAAGATCGTGGGAGAGGCCAAAGGTGAAAAAATGCCAGGTGATGATGACAGCCAAGTATAATTGATATCTGAAATTTAAAAATACTAGAATGTACCCAGGGCATTCCCATTCTCCTGGAAGCAGTTGTCTCTTGGGACGTTTGGCATCACATTGAAGGCAGATGTTGTTCTTGGCAAAATTCATGAAGTCACACCTGATACCAACATTCAACATCGTGAGCAAATTGTAGAAATCATAACTTTCATTACAACAAAGTTTTGGAGAACATATTTAGCTAATTCAATTCAACTGTACTTCTTAACAAAAAAAAAATATTATCAATGAGATAAGTCAATGGAAAGCCATTTATGGGATCTAAACAACGTAACTATTAACGATTCCTCAACGAAAGTCAACACTACAGTCCCATTATTCTGGTCCGAAGAACTTCCAATGATGCCTAAAAGCTTGAAATGTAAAATATTAGACCTGGCAGAGAGAGATTTTTCCCAAGGAAAGTGGCATATAAAAGTATATGTATTTTCCATAAAATCACCACTGGAGTATTAATTGAACAAAACAAATAAATTGGCCATGATCCAGAAGAATAAAACTAAAGAAATTAGAAGAAACATACTTCGAGCATAGCCAGTCCCCTTTTTTCATCTCAATGTCATCCCGTCCAACTCGTCTTCTTGGAGGCGGAGGAGGCTGCTTTACTTTTGGTGGTGGCTTTTTGATTACTGGAGGTGGAAGATTAGGATCGATTGGAACTGCACTCAGCTTGACAACCTGATGAAGCAACTTACGGACCACGGTCTTAACAGATTTTTGTTTCAGAAGTGACTTATTGGCCACTGATCCATTAACAGGATCAAATCCATAAGTCAATAAAACACGCATTACATCAATAGTCCGTGCCTCGTCCTCTTTGTTAGTAATCAGATATGCTCTTTCACAAGAACTCCTTAAACTACAGGAACTGCAAACCTGGCATATGAATGAAATACTCATTACTTAAAAAGAAATCATATGTATGAGCCAAAATAAATATGAGGGCTGGGGCAAAGAAACTAGACCCTTCAGAGAAGCAAATTTGACAAAATGGCAGCAACAAGTAATGAGATGTCAGTGGTTAGACACAAGTTATATAAGCAAGCGATACCAGGAAATATTCGAAGTAAAACTCACATCTCCTTCATCAAGGTGGGTATGCTTCCTTAATAGTTTTGAAGAGAAAACCACCTTCTTGTCCGTACTCGGGCATCCAAAACCCACCAAAACTTGAATATCCTGTCTCGACAAGGACCTGAAATTACTCTACCGTCTCAGAATTTGTCAACCATACTAGCATTAAGCCCAACATACGAAACTGATCACATACATAAGCAACAGCTATATATAGAGAAGAGAGCACATTGTGATCTTATGGAATCAGTCAATCGATTAGTCGAAAAGAAACAAAGTTTTAATCATATCACTACTCCATTCACCCTTCTATCAGTCACTGAAGAAACTACGAAGGATATCGAATTACAGTTCAGTATTTGTTTTTCATAAAACCAAACTCAAACACCATTTCCTTTAGCATTACCTTATGATATCGAATCGGTCCTTCCCGAAATTAAGACACGCTGTGTGAACAGCCTTGAAATCTTTGAAATCAATACCTGGGGCATCCTCCTCTGCCGCCAAAGCATATTCAGTTGGATCAAAGCCGATATCTTGGACCATTCTGTCCTCGTCCACCCTCCTATGATCAAAGTAATTCTGCTGTACCAGCCTCTCCATCAGTTCAATCCACTCTGGCCACGGATGTACCACCTCCACCTCCTTCTTAGCCGCCACCGGCTTCTCCAGCCTCTCCGACCCGGCCAAAACAGATACAGAATCAACCAAATTATCATCAATTCCACTGTGATTGGCAACTCTCAACCCTAATTCCGGGTCAATTTGGGATTTTTTCGATTCGCGCCAAGCTCTGATTTTCTGGAGGGTCTGATCCTTCTCAGAGCGTGCTTTCTCGATGGCGTCAATTTGGTCGAAGACGAAGCTCAGGCGGGCGGAAAGGGAGGAGGGTTTTGGGTCCGGGGAGGAGGTTGGGGTCGGGGAGGTGGAGAATGGTTTTAGGAGAGAGAGGAGAGATGGAGGGGGTTTAGGGTTTGGGAAGCAGCGAGAGAGGCGTTTGAGGAGGAGCAGGGAGTATGGAGTCTGCGCCATTTTAAGAGAGAGAGAGAGAGAGAGAGAGAGAGTAAGCTCAAATCCTTAAACCCTCCATGGATAGTGAGGGAAGAGAGAGCAAGGAGAGGACGAAGGTAAGCTTAAACCCTACATTGGGCTATATTTTTGGACAATATACAATGGGCTCTTTTAGGGGAACAAGAAGCGATTTGGGCTTCTATTTTCATGTGCAACTTTGAGGTCCATGTTAGTCCATTTTGACTATTAGAAACCCTTGGGCACATTGGTGAAACAGTGTGGTTATTCATAACGTTATAAAAGTGTATACAATTCTGGAGGAGGACATCCTGGATTAACTCCGGGGCTCCTCATACCAACAACTAGCAAAAATAGAAATTAAGGCCAATTTAGTCATTCTATGCCGCAACATTGACGAATCTACAAACATAACAAATTATTGAGGCAAAAAAATCTGTCCTAAACTTGTCCTTAACTTATGATTACCTTACATGGTGCACACATGCCGATATTTAATGGAAATTTAGATGGAGTGCGGAGAAAATAGACAGTAATGAAAAATTGTCCAAAAAACATTAGTTTAAGTTCTTAATTTTGTAAACGATAAGTTATGCGGTGAAATTGGATGTTAGGGACAAGCTTTTAGGGGTGTTATGACAATTTACTCTTTAGTGAACCATACTCATCATGTTGATAATGAGAATGTAGTTAACTTCCTTGTACATCCCTATCAACAGAATTGAATCCGCTCCAGACCTTAGTGTCCGGAGCCTAAGGATCAATTCATCTGGACCGCTGATTGATATGTAAAAGAAATCAGAGCCATTGATTTTGTGTGGTGGGCCAGGAAAATGAGTTAATGGAGACCGTTGGATTGAATTTGTGCTGCCCAGATGAATCGATCCCTAAGCTTTGGACACTAAGGTTCGGAGCGGATCCAATTCTTCTATTAACCTCCATCTTCTTCTCTGTTTCACTGTGATTTAGGGCCCTACAGAGTGGAGGCCCTAGGTGGCTGGTCTACTCCGGTCACTTTCAGGGCCAGGCCTATTTTGTGAAAAAGTATAAATTGCAAACTCTCTCCCATTTTCTGTAATCTATTCAACTTAGAAGATCTCCTCCAGAGATTTCATACAAACTAAAGAAAGCTTTACCGTCCAACCAAAGAAAACCCAAAACCCTAGAGACCATCTCTCCATCCTATCCTGGCGTATAGCTTTGCAGGAAGCACTTGTATAAATAACAAAGGAAGGGAAAGATAGTAAGTCTTAGACTTAACATTTTCAGTCCGAGAAATATTCCGAAAACATGGTACAATGAAGCTTCGGATTTTCAACGTCGTTCTTCCACCGCTGAAAGAGTCAGCGGTGGACGGTTTTCTACAATCAGTTTCATAAACAGGGTTCTCCCCAATGCTACTTTTGCAGTCAACAGCTTTCAAGTCTGCGATCAATACAACTCCGGGTGGAGAATTTGAAGTCAACCTTCCTTTCCATTAAGCACCACTCTGAGCTGAGAATTCGGGTGCTCGGCCTAGGGGTGATATACGATCCTTGGTAAGCTCGTAGCATTCTGCAGTCATCTGGGAACCATCCATCACCTATTTGGCCAAAACCAAAACCAAAACCAAAGCCACATGCACAGGTTAACGTTTTTGTTTTAAAAAGCTCGTGAATATACAATGTATAAAACTCGAGAACCAATGGTTAATACGTCAATTACTACAGTCTAAGCATGCCTAGATTTCGCTGATAAGAAAATCGAAGCACATTTTTGTCTAAATCTTCTTCTGTACATCCATTTTTGTTCTCTTGTGTGTAAAATAAATAAGTTCACGAGGCAAAGTAAAAGAAACATATATCGGGCCGTACCTTGTGAAACAGCGTCCTTCTATCCGGCATGCATGCGTGGACCGAGTTCAGGAATCCTGCAAACAGCAAGACACAGTTTGCACAGTACGTGACTCAAATGAAGAATAATTCCTAGGGCGAGGAGAGCACAGCCTGTCGGGACCCAATGGTTCAGTCTGGCTGAATGACCCTGTAATCGCAGACAGAAGAAAAATGAGTTCCGAGTCTTGCACATGCTAAGCACTGAATATACAAATCAGAGACTCAACCTTCATATGTATAAGCACATGTCCGAAATGCACTCCCATAATCATGGAGAGAATTGCAGATATAGAGCTGCAGGTGGAAACAAATCCACATAAAACTTCTTAAAGTGTCTCATTATTAACATCTATCGGATTATCATGAAGCAAAGGACTAATATGATCTCTTGATTGTCCGAAACCAGTAAAGGACCGAGTGGTTAAACTCCGTCACAGGCAAGGGTTATATTTACCTTAAAGTTCCTTTGGGTTCAAAAGGAGCATGGCACAATGATGGGGCATTATTTCGGAATGGTCCTGCATATGGGGAATTCTCAGTGCAAGCCTGCAGCATTTCAGTGTCCTCCTATCCGGCATGCGAGGACCGAGTGCAGGAATCCTGCAAACAGAGAGACACTCAAGGAAAAGAAGAACACCCGAATCTGCGGTTTGCTCTTTTCTTGGATCTTCAACTTGGAAATCCCGAATCTCCCCCAACCCCACTTTGCCTTTGTCAAAACCCATATCCCCAAAAGCCCTCAAGACCCTCTTAACTTGGAGGCTGAGCAGGTGGGGCTTGTGAATCTGCACTAGACTGCTTAAGTCGAAATCCAGGAAAACATGTATGAGCGTTTGGTAGGGAAGCTGGTGATTGCCTGAACCTGCGATAGACTATGCGAGCATTGGAAGTCTTCTCGCTTTCATTCAAATTCTTCAGATGCCCCTTCCCAAGGCCTAATGGATGAATAATCACCATTTTCCTCAGGCTTTGAGCATCCTCAAGGATAAACCTTATGAACTCAATTTGGTTGCTCCCGTAGAAGTGTCGATTAAGGGCTACGGTTACTTCCTTAAGCTGAGAGAGGAAAGGAAGCTTGCTTGATCTCCAGTATTCCATGGTAAGACCTGAACACTGAGAAGGAAGCAGGTAGATCAATTGCAAAGTTCCAAAAACATATCAAGAAACTAATGATAATTGTCAAACCGAACATTTTACTTACTTCATTTAGAAGGCAACGGGGCGGCGTTGAAGACTTCACGTCCAAGATAGTTAAATTAGGCATTGCCCGAAGAATAGGGACCAATGCCAACACCAATTCACCACTAAAGTTTCCGATTTTCATAGAGAAATCACGAACGTTCTCTAAGGGTGGTATTCCTTTTCTGAACAAAGCCTGCAGTTTATTTAAAAAGAAGAATTAAACATCTCACTCTAAATTATGTTTCATATAACACTTTGCCAGAAGAGTAGTGCCTTTACCTTGATGGTATTGTGATTTAGAGTTAAAGCTTTAACCCGGTGCACGCTGGTAAGGAAGTCAACTGCCTTCACATCAGGTGACAGATCTCTACGTATGACATCGGCCAAAGAAAGCTCGGCCCTTTCTAAGGTCCCGAGCTGGTGGTTGACACTAATCCCATCCCACTCCAAATTCTCAACATCTGAAGCAAATATGCTTACTGTTGTACACCACTCCGAACGCCAATCTATGCGAACATCTTCAAGCTTATGACCGATGATTTTCAGTCGACGAACTGTCCAACTGTTGCTCGAAATACTGAGTGATTTTAGTGATGAGCTCTCAATGGTGATATCACCTACCCCATTTGCTAGATGGATCCTACGGATATCAAGGTCAAGTATTTCAACCTTGCACCTTAAAGCATTTTCGATCCACGAAATAAACCGACGTCCTACCCCCTCACAAATGCATGGGGTTTCATTTCCAAAAGTATGTTCACGGACGTCGAATCTAATACCAAAGTGAAGGATTCTGTTCTCCCCACGATGGTTTAAGAACCTATCCACAGCATTTGCGAACCTAGACCACTTATCACAAGTTGATATATCAACTTTAGACAAATCTAATCTGAAAGTGGGAGTTGACAAATGGAGCTCCTTGCAGCGTTTGGATAAACTCCCAAAGCGAGTGAGGTCTCCAAATGGAAGCAACGAGAGGATTCCATGAGTAATTTCGTCTGGAAGACTACTCAGCCTATCCACCCTAAACTCCAGACTAACTCTGGGAACCTTTTCACTACTCGTACTTGCCCTACAAGTCTCCATTTACCTGCTCGACAAAATAACACAGTATAAGGATGCCTTTGCTAGCCGGTGGAGAGATACAGAGAGAAAGAGAGGGGAAGAAAAGCTTACCTTTGCTTAACGGTCGCAAGAGGGTGAAGAGGATGAGGTTGTTTTCAAGGATTTGCAATGTGACGGGTGTCTTTCGGGAGTCAAGAGTCAAAGGTGAATAAATAATAAATATATATTAAATAATATAAAATATTATTATATTATTTAATAAAATGTTACTGTATATGTATTAATTAATATAATATTATAATTCCTTAATTATCTTGTTTTTTAGTCTGCTAAGTTAGTCCAATTCAATCTAATCTAAGCCAATGATCAAGCTACAAAGGGGCGGCCGCACATCCTCTCATCGGAAATCTAGCTCAGGAGCGACAGTCAGCCCCTCTGGGGTCGTCAGAAAACCTGCAAGGTGAAGTCGTGGCTGCTGTAGGCTACATATCTATGCAGGGGCTGCGTTTTCTTTTGTTATAAACAAGTCCATGAAAATGACGCATCGTTTCGTTTGCTTTTAACATTGTAAAAATAATAGACGTTGGAAGATGTTATTTGGGCATAAAAAATAAGAGAAATTAATGAAAAAATTTGAAAATTTTGAGTTTTAATGATATTGATAAAATAAAAGGTAAAGTGAATAGTATCAGGATTGACTTTTAAGTGTAAAAATGTACTTTTTCATTAAAATAAACAGTACCGTAAATTTTTCGTGAAAACTCTCGAAAAAATAACAAAAAAATAAACACAATCGAAGGGGGACCACTCGTCCCCATTAACCCTCGCATGTTCACTTCTCCAATTCCCACCCCACCGTCGTGCCCTTGTTGCCTTTTTAAAATTTAAATGGTTAATTCCTAATTTAACATTAATGTTTGCTTAATTGACTTTCTTTATAAGAATTAACGTAATATGTGTATTGATTATTGATATGAATCATATGATTATTGATGAATAAGTGGATATGTTCGTTCCTGCTTGGAATTTAAAGAATTAAATCATGAAGCATTTTTTACCTGATTTTTATTGTAATTTAGTATTTGATTTAGACTAGCTTTTTCACCAGTTTGATCCTTCATTTTTGCTGCTAATTTCACTGTGGGAATCAGATGGTGCCTCAAACTCGTAGATTTTTAGGCAAAATTTAGCTACCAATTTTCGAAAGGGTGTAGCTTTTGTCAAAATTTAATGCTTGGAAAGGGTTGATGCATCAACTATTGGTTAAAGTTGCAGTTTTTATTTTGAAAAAAAAAGTTAATTTTTATTAGGTAAATATGTTTGCAAAAAACTCAAATTGATATGATAAATCACTGTTTTCACATTTGGCATATCACACTAGAGTTGTTTGTATAGGCTTCGTTTGGATTATAGGATTTTATTTGAATGGACAAACCTGTAAATTCGATCCTCTTGACCGAATGAGGCCTTATAGTAATATGATCAAGGAGATGGACATCACTACAATGCCCCCTTCCCTTAAAGCTATTGAACGAGTAGCAAATTTACAGCATAAAACTTCATCAGCACTTGTTTGTCTTGATAAATATATGAACAAAATTAATTTTGTCTATTATATAAAAGAACTTTGGTTGTCTACATTTATTTTGGAACCCTTTACTTTTTTAAATTTCACCCACATTAGTAAGTGGATGTCACGTGTTGTATTTTAGAGAGGCTACGGACACAACGTGGCTTTTTGGGTGCAGAAGATTTTCGTCTCCCTAAAATTCATACATGATCACTTACCCGCACACTTGAGTTCACTCGCTTGCCAAGATCCGCTACGGCCTTACCAGCACCTCTCTCAGCTCTCCGATCTCGATGCTTTCCTCTTCCGGGTCCTCAATTCTTCCCCCCGCGATCTCACACTGACTAATCACGCAATGCTGCAATCCATTCCTCCCCCGGGGAGTTCTATCCGGCAAAGGCTTTCATGGCGGTTTTGGATATAAGAAATGTGCTCGATAGCTTGAGCGTATTGTATTTGATGTTTATATAGAGATTACAAGTAGTGTTTGAGTGAAGAACAAACTCTTCAAAGTAAACTAAAGATAATTTACAAATAATACAAATAATAAATAATCTATTTAAATTCAAACATCATTCAACAGCCAGAGGATTTGACTGTTGAGAAGTTTTAGCCAAGTCTTCCTTTTGATTGATTCGGTTTTGATCTTCAATGAGTGTTGTGGCGGGAAGCTTAGATTTCGAACTTTGTTTATCACACCCCCCAAGCTGAGCGGTCACCGGCGAACAGGATTTTGACATGGATGCCTAGGTTTTAAAAATTTGAGATTAAACATTTATGCTTTTTTAGAGTTTTGATTAAACACTTTCCTACAATTTAGGTGCCACATGGATTAGAAGTAGTCTTTTTTATAATTTAAATTCCCAACTTGCCATTAAATAAATATACCTTTTAATTCCTAGATAATACATCAAAACTCCTAAAATATTGTAGATAAATATTATAGAATTTAATTCCAATAAAAAGTCTTTCAAAATACTGTGACATCCCACATCGCTCAGGAGAGTGATCCTTAAATGTATATTCCCATCCTTACCTAGCACGAGGCCTTAGCTCACTGACTTCGGGTTCCATAGGAACTCCGAAGTTAAGCGAGTAGCGCACGAGAGCACTCCCAGGATGGGTGACCCATCGGGAAGTTCTCGTGTGAGTTCTCAGAAACAAAACCGTGAGGGTGTGCTGGGGGCCCAAAGCGGACAATATCGTACTAGGGTGGTGGAGCGGGCCTGGGAAGTGGCCCATCCCGGGCGGGGATGTGACAATTTGGTATCAGAGCCTAACCCTGGTCGTGGTGTGCCGACGAGGACGTCAGGCCCCTGAGGGGGGTGGATTGTGACATCCCACATCGCCTAGGAGAGTGATCCTTAAATGTATATTCCCATCCTTACCTAGCACGAGGCCTTTTGGGAGCTCACTGGCTTCGGGTTCCATAGAAACTCCGAAGTTAAGCGAGTAGCGCATGAGAGCACTCCCCCGATGGGTGACCCATCGGGAAGTTCTCGTGTGAGTTCTCAGAAACAAAACCGTGAGGGTGTGCTAGGGGCCCAAAGCGGACAATATCGTGCTACGGTGGTGGAGCGGGCCCGGGAAGTGGCCCATCCAGGGCCGGGATGTGACAAATACCCATGAATGCAACTTGCCATTATGTTTAATATACCTTTTAATTTTCTTAGATAATATCTCAAAACTCCTAAAATCTTGTAGATAAATATTGTAGTATTCAATTTTAATAAAAAGTCTTTCAAATTACACATGAAATGTAAATTTCTTCTTGGTACATATTTGATACGTTACTTAATATATCATCTTGGTACATATTTGGTATGTTTGTTTTCTTCTTTGTATGTATTTAGTACGTTTATATTTATTAAAAAAAAAACATATTTGGTACATGTATTTCCTCTTGATTAAACATATATTTTTCCTTAGTACATATTTGTCACGTTACTTTATATATCTTCTTGGTACGTATTTGGTACATTCATATTTCTTTTTTGTATGTATTTGGTAAATTTATATATTATTTTGGTATGTTTATACTTATTTAAAAAACAAATTTGGTACATTACTTCATATATCTTCTTGGTACGTATTTAGTACGTTTAAATATATTATCTCAATGTACTAGCCTCAAGCTTTCGAAAATAGAGAATACGTCTAATTATATCACATGATATCAATATAAAATAGTAAAAACAATCACTAATTGAAATGGATAAGTCCATTCAAAATTCAAAAATGAGAATCACAGAATTCTAACGTGGGAGAAGAAACCATATGGCTCAAACGTGGGAGAAGAAACTAGCTTCCTAAAAAAGAGGCCATGTACAAAAATATATCAACCTAAAAGGATATATATGGAATTTAATAATTAACATTTTAGATTAAAAAAACACAATAATTACATGTAATTTAAATAAATATAAAAATATTGATATGACTATTGTTTAGGCGTCCTAATCAAATTTCAAAATAGAACCAATGTTTAATCTAAAGAGTATTAGAAAAGTGCAGGGATTCTAATTTTCCCATAATCAAACCGATAAGTAGACAACCCTTTTGTCAAGAAGTCTGCAACCTGATCTTGGGTAGCGGCCTAGCCCACCTGAAGTTCACGGCGAGTCACCTTCTTGCGGATATAATGGTAGTCCACTTCAACGTGGCATTTCCGGGCATGGAAAACTGGATTGGAGGCCATGGAAATTGCAGAAATGTTGTCACACCAGAGCTTTGGTGGAGAAAGCCGTAGATGAAGGTCATTGAATAACTGGCGAAACCATGAAATTGTGGCGGCAGTAATAGCAAGCTGGCGATACTCGGACTTTGTGCTTGAACGAGAAACACCTCTTTGTTTCTTGGAACTCCAGGAATCAAGGTTAGAACCAAGAAATATGCAATAGCCTCCAGTTGATATGCGGTCATCTGAATCTCCAGCGTAATCAGAGTCGGCAAATGCAGAAAGAGTTAGAGGTCCAGGTTTATAGACAAGACCATGATCAGGTGTGGATTTCAAATAACAAAGAATTCGCTTGACGGCAATCCAGCGTGTAGTATGAGGACATACTGAGAATCTTTTTGATGGCTTGTGAAGTTAAAACTGTGAAGCTGAGTGTTATCGGACTTTCGCGCTTACAAAAGCTAATATCTCATGACGCTGTTGCTCCGCCAGCACTGAACGAGATTCTTTCTACGCCGAAGGAGGTAAGTTCATGTTAAGAGTATTTTTCTTGCTCATTATGCTAATCCCAGTACCGTCTTAAAGTTATTATTTTTGCTTTTTCTGACAGCAAGCCGAAATGGCTGATGAAAGTGTTCAACCTAAGACCCTGCAGACTGTATTAATCATACGGACGAGTTTTACATCTTATGCTGAGGCAGTAATTCATAGTATATGCTATAGCTGGATTTATCCTTTAACATAGATTGAATTAAGGGGGGCAATAAGGAAAATGTGAAATGTCATGTGCAAGCCAAGCTTTTTAATATACCAGCGAAATCAATATGCAACGGTTATAGTTTCAGACAAATCAGTGAAAAAAGTAGGGTTTTATAATCTTATATATAATCATCTCATCAAATTTCTCCTTGAGTACTTACTACTACTTACTAATGTGTCAGTGGGTGTTGGTCTATGTGATTGCTCAAAAAAGTTTGTCTTTTGAACGTTTCTACTGGATTTGGTAATGCCATACCATTTATGGGCACTGAGAGATATTTCTGACCATGTTACAAGAAAGACACTTCACTGCATCCATTAACTCAGCTTTCGTTTCCATTTTGTCATTGAATTCTTATTATCTTCTGTTTTAAATAGCGGTTGGGCATTGTATTCTTAATTGTTCAAGCTCTTGGTATCTGCCTTCGGCTCCTGGAAAACAACCGGTCCTCTGATGGTTTGCTGCCCCAAGTCATATTACGTTGTTAGCGATTATAGCTGGCATTTGAATCCGTTGGTCTGTCCTGAGATGGATTGATTGGACTCCATACGGTAATCCTATGTGTTTGCGCATCAAGGAAGACTCACTTAGTTTGTATAATATTTTCGACAGCATGCCATATGTTGATCATGGATCATGTTTTGACACAGACCTCAGAGATTTTACATGCAAAGTCATATTTTCATTCCTACAGTTATGGGCATGTTCTTTTCCTGAAACTTGCTGCTACCAAGGGATGCATGTCACATCTTGTTAGTAATTCTTTCTAGCGAGATTACTCGGCAACTTTCAGTGCTCTACCTTGTCAGCTTGCATCTACCCTCAACTAAAACGTGAACGATCTTTATGCTTTTTATGAGAATAAGGCACATTTTTCTGTTTGGAGAAGTAAATTCATAATGTAATCACTTTCTAGGTTCTATTTTTTACAATTGAATTGACATTAACCAGAACGTGCAAGGATAGCTATGGTTTTCTTCGAAACCGAATATAAGTAAATAAAATGCATGTAAGATCAACACAGGGAAAGTAGCCCCTATGAACTAAATAGTTGAAAAGATATATTTTCCAGTCCTGGTTTATCACGCATCATAGTACCTACTAAATACATTTAAACCAAACAATGACATACCAGCACCATTGACATCAGATTCTCCAGATGCAACAGCTTCTGCTGCCTGCCTCAATTCCATGGCCAAGAATTCTGCAGATTCCAAACGTTCATCATCTTGCCATTACAAATTTTCTAATAGACCAGAACCCTCTTTGGCACCTTGCACTTCTCTAACCTCGCAAACATTTTTACTCTTGGTGCTATCAATCTTCTCATCAGACCCAGTAACAGAGCAACCGACTTCATTTTCCGCTGAAGGTTTACGAAAAGGTTTGTGGATACCGCCAAATGTATCATAACCATTCATTCTATGTTCCACCTTCTCGTCAGCCCAAGTAATGGAGCGATTAAGTTTTTTTGCCCCCGAAGGTATACGAGAGGATCTCAGCATTGGCTCATTTGATTTATCAGTCTTCTCACCATGGAATTCCTCTCTTGCTTCTTTAGGACTTCTATTCATAAAAGTTTGAGAAGACTCTGAAGTTGAGGACGCCTCCCGAATGCCAACATCATCTTCCTTGGAAATCTTACTTTTCCCCCCTCTTGAGTGTCTTGATTTCTTTTCAGAATCATTCTTATCTGCACTTCACTCTTTTCTTGAATCTTCAACTTAGCCCCAATCTGCACTTTGCTCTTTTCTTGGATCTTCAACTTGGAAATCCCGAATCTCTCCCAACCCCACTTCGCCTTTGTCAAAACCATATCCCCAAAAGCCCTCAAGACCCTCTCAACGTGGAGGCTGAACAGGTGGGGCTTGTGAATCTGCACTAGACTGCTTACGTCGAAATCCAGGAAAACATATCTGAGCGTTTGGTAGGGAAGCTGGTGATTACTTGAACCTGCGATAGACTATGCAAGCATTGGAAGTCTTCCCGCTTTCATTCAACTTCCTCAGATGCCCCTTCCCAAGGCCTAATGGATGAATAATCACCATTTTCCTCAGGCTTTGAGCATCCTCAAGGATAAACCTTATGAACTCGATTTGGTTGCTCCCGTAGAAGTGTCGATTAAGGGCTACGGTTACCTCCTTAAGCTGAGAGAGGAAAGGAAGCTTGCTTGACCTCCAATATTCCATAGTAAGACCTGAACACTGAGAAGGAAGCAGGTAGATCAATTGCAAAGTTCCAAAAACATATCAAGAAACTAATGATAATTGTCAAACCGAACATTTTACTTACTTCATTTAGAAGGCAACGGGGCGGCGTTGTAGACTTCACGTCCAAGATAGTTAAATTAGGCATTGCCCTAAGAATAGGGACCAATGCCAACACCAATTCACCACTAAAGTTTCCGATTTTCATAGAGAAATCACAAACGTTCTCTAAGGGTGGTATTCCTTTCCTGAACAAAGCCTGCAGTTTATTTAAAAAGAAGAATTAAACATCTCACTCTAAATTATGTTTCATATAACACTTTGGCAGAAGAGTAGTGTCTTTACCTTGATGGTATTGTGATTTAGAGTTAAAGCTTTAACCCGGTGCACGCTGGTAAGGAAGTCAACTGCCTTCACATCAGGTGACAGATCTCTACGTATGACATCGGCCAAAGAAAGCTCGGCCCTTTCTAAGGTCCCGAGCTGGTGGTTGACAGTAATCCCATCCCACTCCAAATTCTCAACATCTGAAGCAAATATGCTTACTGTTGTACACCACTCCGAACGCCAATCTATGCGAACATCTTCAAGCTTATGACCGATGCTTGTCAGTCGACGAACTGTCCAATTGTTGCTCGAAATACTAAATGATTTTAGTGATGAGCTCTCAATGGTGATATCACCTACCCCATTCGCTAGATGGATCCTACTGATATCAAGGTCAAGTATTTCAACCTTGCACCTTAAAGCATTATCGATCCATGAAACAAACCGACGTCCTACCCCCTCACAAATGCATGGGGTTTCATTTCCAAAAATATGTTCGCGGACGTCGAATCTAATACCTAAGTGAAGGATTCTGTTCTCCCCACGATGGTCTAAGAACCTATCCACAGAATTTGCGAACCTGGACCACTTATCACAAGTTGATATATCAACTTTAGACAAATCTAATCTGAAACTGGGAGCTGACCAATGGAGCTCCCTGCAGCGTTTGGATAAACTCCCAAAGCGAGAGAGGTCTCCAAATGGAAGCAACGAGAGGATTCCATGAGTAATTTCGTCTGGAAGACTACTCAGCCTATCCACCCTAAACTCTAGACAAACTCTCGGAACTGTTTCACTACTCTTACTTGCCCTACAAGTCTCCATTACAGAGAGAATCAGAGATTTTAGCAGATGTATACGATCTATTTGGCTCTCCTTTTACCTGCTCGGCAAAATAACACAGTATAAGGATACCTTTGCTAGCCGGAGGAGAGATACAGAGAGAAAGAGGGGGGGAAGAAAAGCTTACCTTTGCTTAACGGCGGCAAGAGGGTGAAGAGGATGAGCTTGTTTTGAAGGATTTGTGATGAGCTTTACACCTGCGTTTTGTAGAAAAAAGAGGGAGGAAAGAAGAAATGCGGAGGAGCCAGAGGGAGAAGAAACGAAAAGATGCTTTGTAGAGATATTTTTCAAATGTATACATGATACATTATGTATTATTATACAAATGATAAGATATTTTCGTTAAAAAGTTAATAATTTAAATATTAATTCCGATTTTCTTCCACTGTCACCCTCAAGTCTATAAAAGTGGGAGGAAGCACAGAGGAGATTGACGGCAAAAGCACACAGAAATTGACAAAAAATAAAAGAGGACGAGGAGAAGGGAGCAAAAGCAGTAAAAGTTATTTTACTCTTTCTTTTCTTTAGAACTTCGCAGGTGAACATTTTATATTCATCTTCTTCAAAATAAGAAGAGCCTAGGGTGGGCTCCGCAAATTCATTTCAGCGAATTCAAATTGTATTCTATTATTCAGAAATTCATGAATTATATTCGTTCATTGTACTATTGTACTGTAAATTATTTTAAATATTTTTATTTAAAATTAAATAAAAATAATATTTAATAAAAATTAACAATGAACGAATTTAATTTACAGATGCTAAGAATCCTCGCCAAAAGGATCCGGAGCGGATCCTGTTGGCTTCTCGGCAGCTCCTCCTTCCTCATCAAACTTCCAGGGACTCTTTCCCTCTCTTTTCTCGGCAAAAATGGAGTAAAACAAGAGGAAGGCTTCCTTGCTTCTCCCGTGAATCAGCACCACCGTCTCGGTTCTCTCTCTTTCTTCTCTGTCGACAACAACAACAACATCAACAACGGGGTATCCATCATGGTGATTTCGAACCAGAGTATAAAGCCGTAGGCCCTTGGAGTTCGGCAACTGAAGGAAGGTTCAAACCAAGCCTCGCAACAGGAGAGGCAGCAACCTCCCCAGTTCCCCCTGTCGCTGCGTCACTGGTCACAAGCAGCGGCAGCAGCAAGCTTGTCATTTCCTGGAATTCCGTCAACAAAAGGAATCCCTGAATCAGCATCATCATCGTTGCAATTCGGAACCAGAGCATAAAGCCGTAGGCCACTGAAGATGCGTGACCTGCACCCGCAACCGAATGGTACAAAGCCGGTCTCAAATGGCACAAAGCCGCTTCAAATGGCACGAAGCCTCGTCAACTTTCAAATGGCACGAAGCCATGTCTAGATTCAAATCGCATGAAGCCACGTCAAATGTCAAATAGCACGAAGCCGCGACAAGTATGGGATTGCTAATCCCGTCTTTGTGGGCCCATTAGTATTTTACTAAAAAACATGTTACTTGACACATTTGGACCCTACTAATATTCTACAACATCATGGCTAAACACATAAATACACTAAAACTAAAATAAAAAAAACTGATACGACCATACAACAACAACGAAACCTTCGGCCAAAGAGTAGAAGAAATAGATTTTCTTGCAGTCTTCAAAACCACTCCACCATGCATTTCGGGTAGAAACCGGTTTCTGCAGCAACAGAAGCGAGCCCTTGTAATTCTTTCTGAACCTTACGCCTCTCGTAGAACACCGAGCATCCAAGAGAAGTGCATTTAATGCCACTTCCTATGACCCAGTCCCCTCCTCCACAATGTCGACAGATCTGCATGAGAAGAGAAGTGATATCCGTAAAAGCGAATTTCAATAATATATGTCAAACAATGTAACAATCCATTTGAAGGATACAAAAGCAAAGGTTATAAGAATGAAAAATTGGAGAGGTTATGTGTCGTAAACGAAAAACTAAAAAAAAAAAAAAAAAAAAAAAAAAAACTGATCAAAGAACTTACAGCAGCAAGCTGCTGCATCTCTCTCTCCAGTTTCGAAGTTCTTCCAATTACAGCTACAGCAGCACAACTTTTGTTTTCAGAACATTGATTGCATAGATGGGCTGATCCCTGGACCAACTCCCCGCACAAGATACAATGCCTCGAAAGATAGTAATAATCAATTCTGGTTCGGTGTGGATTGGAAGCATAAAAGGCGCGTTTACCAAAGGCTTCCCTGGCTGGCCGGGGCATATCTGAAAACCACTCGTTCAAGTCAGCCCCAAGAAGCCCAAACACTCGCTGCAAAGCTGGGATTATCTGTTTATGGATGTAATAAAGATCATTTAATCTGTATGGTGAATCAATAGCCAAGAGATTCAATGGATCCACGACCATGTCAACCAGACGAGCCCCAGGCTCCCCGTGGATCACAACGTAAGGTATTCGCTCTGCATAACGTGGTTCTGCCCTCGGGTCAGTTTTCATAGCTTTTGTGGCAACAACTGCAGCTGGTGGAAGTGACGAAATAGAACTTGCCCGATAGGTGCCTAGGCGAACTTCCTTTGCAAATACAAAATCCTGAAGAGACACCCTTCCCGATATGATTCGCTTCCACTGACGCTGTAAGTATGTTTTGACCTACGCACAAAAACAGCAGTGATCACCCAACCATGGAAAATAAAGTCAACAAAACAATATTTCCGGTAAAATGCTCCGGCAAATACAAGATAGCTATGAAACTAAAGAAGTAACATGGGAGCATGGATTGACTTGCAATCAATGGATGTCTCACCACACAGAGTATTTCTAATTTATTAGGCATCTTGTTCTTTTTCCTTTTTGGCCTTGATTCTTATCAAACCAGTTGAAATATAATAAGAAAAGGAATTCATGACGCATGTGCTTGTACCTCATACATGTCCTGATGTTCAAAGAAAAGTCTCAAAGACTGCTCCATTGTCTTGGCAACAGCCGCACATGTATCCCTACGAACTGTCTCAATACCTTTAGCATCAAAAATAGGTTCGATCTGTTCAGGGCTTTCATAACTGTAACCAACATAACGCTTCTTGGTAAGGAGGAAGCACGGGCTGTAAACTTTTTCCATCTTCAAAGCAACTGGATTTGGATTCCTAGCACTAATTTCAGATGCAATCTCGCGTCCAATCTTAAAAGAATCTTCAATAGTGCGTCCTTTTAGGAGGACAAACATGCTACAAACATAAGGCCAGTTAATTTTCCCATCTCAGCACAAATAAAAGAGAAAGAACTGGTACAAAAATCTCCATTGATCCAGAAGCAATCACACAAATAGACCAAATCACACCAAACTAAACTCATGATGTGTCATGATGCATAATCAAGAAAAATTGATCATAATTTTCATCTAATTCATCATAAGAAATTGACTGATACCTGTCTGTGTCGCCATAAATAACTTTTGCCTTCCACTTGTCATGTGCATTTATGAATGAAATAGCCTTTTCCAGTGTACTACGGCCACATTGAACAATACTGTCTGCAATCTCGGCACAAGGCATGCGGCCACTAAACCCAGCAGCAGTATAGCCATACGTTACATTTGATATCAACTTCAGAGCAAGCTGTCTTGCATTAAAAATCTGGAAAAGAATGTGATGCCTTGTAAAAATGATAAATTACTTAAAAGAGCACAATCCATGGAAAAAGTAACTTCCAATATGTCACAACTTATTGTATCTTTGAGAATCAACTCTTTCAAAAAGCACTAATGAAGTTGTAAATTTGCATCATCTTTTAAGGCTCCCTTGATAAATTATGGACCCACAACATGTTCGACCGAAAGACATTTGTCGCTTCCCATTCAACAACACATTTCAACTGAACCACATCCACACCAGACATGCATTCCAAGGAAGGATGGCAAAATTAATAACAGAATATAAATCTAAGCTTCGAAACTTTGCGATTGAATAAAACTTCTTTCGTTTATCATGGTATGGGTCACAAAAGATCAAACGTTGGAATTCAGAAGAGTATGAATCAGTTAACAATTGAAGCATATGCATACATTGTAAGGGACAATATCCATATATCAAACAACTAGTGTTGAGAACTAAGAGGAACCACACAAACTTTATATTCTAGAACGCAACGTACCCTGTGAAGAACTTGCTGCGAAGAAGACAGCTTTTTCATAGCTTGTTTAACCATTATTCTCGTTGACAATATTTCATCTAACAAACGGGGTAGTACACCTTTGCGAACCTGTATCACATGATTCACAGCAAGAAATGGAAGTTACTCTCTCCTCCCTCTTCTGAGTGCATGATCAACTTGTAATGCATGCTCCATATGATTGCATTAAATCTGTAAAACAGAAACAACTACGAAAAGAGTACCTTCTCGGGGACATACATGACACCATTTGGAGTAAGCAGAATCTGATCTTTTAAAATATGAAGGTCATGGGGATCTGGTGAAAACGAACTGACTCCAAGTGTATTTGCCTCTGAAGGTACAACTTTTCCAAGGCATGTAGAATAGCAAAGGTTGTATGCAATAATCATTGACGGATAAAGAGACTGAAAATCCAATACGACAACTGGATCTGCATAAAAACCAGACTCTGGTTCCATGACAAGAGGTATGCACTCCATCGCTGGTTGAGAAGCAACCTACATAAGATCAATCATCAGAGTCATCAAATGGTCTAATATATCATCCACGGCTGCATAAGAATCCAATGCAACAATAGAAAAATGCAATCCACCAGCAGGCATCATTAGGAGAGAAATGAAAGAGTAAAAGATAACTTGTAAGAACCTGTTTACTCCCAGGGGATATGGCAACATAGTTTTGTGCATGGGCTAGTCTCAGAAACATGGATTCAACACGGTATTGTGAACCTCTAGAGAGAACTGAAAAAAAGTCAATGCCAAAGACACGTGCAAGTTCTGATGTTCGATTTATCTGCAAAAGCAGTCATGATGAACTTAATAAAAAAGGCAGTGGAATAGAAAAATATAAAAGAGAGTAAACATTACTCTGACAAATTATCAGCTCAATAAAGCTAATCAGATACACATTTATTTAGAAGACTAATCAGATAAGCATAAAAATAAAAAGTTTAATCTCAAAAGACCAAATGGAAGAACTATTGGGACGATTGAAATACTTTAATCATGCCCAAATGGAAAGAAAGGACATAGAAGTTATATAAGAATAGGCCAATCTAACCAATGAAATGCAGGCTTGAAAAAAAGGATAAAGGGCACCTAAAAAGCAACCTCTTAATATCATCGCTCAATGCTCATACATATGAAACACACATACAAGCGCACACAGAGGAAGCAAGCTAGAAATTAATTACCAAAGCAAGAAGTTACCATACCATGTCTAACTGATTCATTATTTCAAGGCTCAGCTTCGCTCTCTCATTTACATATTCAATACATCGATATCTGGCTTGTCCAGGGCCACTTGAAAACCATTTTTCCAGTACTTTATTAGAAATATACGGGACTTTTCGCCTCAACACAGCTTGAGCAACAGCCTCAACTGTGTACATATTGAGCTTGACCTCACCACGGATCAGCCGCCATACATTAAGGATAATTCTACCACAAACATGGACACCGCTGGCATGAGTTCTTCCCCATTCATCCTCAATTAGTGGATCTTCTCTTACAACTGAATTGGCAATGACCGCCTCAGGAATTATTTTATCTTGTATTGCTTTCTCCAAAACTTCTAAATCTTCACCCTCCACCTTGGATTCAGACGGTGCCCGAGATATCTTGTTGAGTAAACCTATACCAAGATATGAAGCCCTTTCTGCCAAAAAGCCAAGAGAACCACCTTGTATATCCCAACCCATCAAAACATCTGGGTCCAATGAGCACACAATTTTCATAAAATGATCGAATAAGTACTTCTCCTCATAAAAAACCAACACCTTGCAGCGAGAAATTCCATCAAGACTCCTGCAAAAGAAACACACAATAAGCTACTGTAAAATGCCAGCCAACACTACCTAATGGTATTGATATGTATATCTTCATTGTTCTTAAATATTACAAAAGGTTTTATAATGTTCCAGTTATTTAAGCATATTGCCCGAAAAATTTAAGGCCACAAATTCCACTGTATATAAAACATCCAAATTGTCACTACCAAATGAAACAACCATTACAAATATCCCAACCAGGATGATGCACCATCATACTCATTGTAGAAGAAAGATCTGAAGAAAGATAAGTATTTAAATCTCAGTATAAATATAAGATTTTACCTCTTAGAACCTTCAGCTTTACTGTGCAAAAGCACATGAACTTCAACAATAGGATCACTATCATTCTGAATAGCAAGAGAGATAAAATTGATGGCATCAAACCGAGGATCAGGTCGAAGATCTCCTCTTGATTCTGCTTGAACCTGTCACCAATGTTGCATTCAAGTTGTATCAATGCAAATGCTAAAGAGCAAGAAAAATAAAAGTAGACACTAGTACTGCTATCTGTTTTTATAATACGAGACTACTACTTTATATACCTCTATGCTTAACAATGTCAGCTGTTGGCCTGCACCAACACTTGCAGGGTCCCTGAATCCAATTTGACTAAGAGGAGTGGGCTTTGATCTCCCATCTGGGCCAGAAATCTGAGAATTATCTTGTGAACATTCGGAGTTTGTTTGAACTTTAACAGCATCTCCTTCTCTTTGCGCTATTCCCATCCTGTCAGTGCAGAAATGGTTCCTTTCTTCTTCATGATTTTCATGATTCTCTTGAGGTCCTTGGGGCAGAATAGGTGGAACGTCATCTACGAACCACATCCAGGTGAACTTTAGTCCCAATCATTAAGCAAAGAACTCTGTAAACTAGTCAGACTCCTAGAAGATCGTAGAAAATGTTTACACATGAGAAAACATTTGTACTTTCTAAGGTCTAATATCTTTCAAGAAAAGAAATAATTTATCATTTTCAGATTCACACATTGATAGTGGCACATTGCTATCAGAAGTAGCACCTAGAAGTCCATAACAAAAATTTAGAGCTAATTGTAATAGCCTCAATCTACAAAATTCTAGCAAATACCTTTTTCATCACTTGACAACCATCTATTCACCTTTTCGGCAGAAGGGGGTGAAGTTGCAGGTGTTAACAAATACAAGTAAGAGCCATCAGTTTGATAGTGAGTAGGGACACCCATAACAGATTCTTCATGAGAGCTAGATTCACTTCTAACACACTTGTTCTGAATTTCTTTCTCGTCTGGGAAATCTCCCACAAAGAAGGGGAAATAGTCATCCGTAGCTCTTCCTTGAATAGAAAACATAGGCTGGTCAGCAATAATTTCTAGCAAAGCACTACAGCATGACATCAGAACCCATCCAAATCAACAGAATAATTCCTAAAACCTAAGCATGATGAATGAACCAACTTAATGTCAGAGATAGAATCAATGGTAACAATATTAAAGGATGCAAAGCACAAGGCATTTATGCTAATATCATAGGTCAATATTTAAAAGTTTTCAACTTCCACTCTTTGAAAAACATATTTCTTAACCCAATGCTAGTAATACCATCGTATAAAGATGAAGTGTCTTTAGATGCCCTGTCCTTCCAGTCTGGAACAGGAGGCTTCTTGTGGAATGTCATTCCAATTAAGTCCCCATCATCCGGATAGATGACCTCGGACGGTGAGTGTCTGAGCCCAGATGAAACAGAGTCCCTACCCAGTTTTTGGACACCAGACCTCTCATTGTTTAGAACAGCACCGACAGTTGTGGCATTTGCATCCATGGGATTCTCAAAAGACATTTCATATACTCCACCCTTGGAAGATAAGCTTTCAAAGCCACTTTCAACATAACGATCTCCATCAGCCACTTCATGCTCAGCAGACCAAGTCTGCATTCTTTTGTTCACAGAAGGAACTTGAGAAGGGCCTGTAATCAAGGAGTTCCGAAATTGAGCCATTGCACAAGCACCAACTTCTTCACCAATCAACACATTGGAATCCAATTTTCCATCTAACGTACTTGCATGTAAAATGTTGTCATTGCTAGAACACAGTGGAAGTTTACCATACATTGAACAACCAGGATTGGTTGGTTTAGCATCATATTTATAAGCCTTATAACTTCCTGATTGTTGGTCAACTAATGATAGCCTGAAGTTAGATGACTCGTGAGGCTTCCTGTCATGCTCATCAGTACCTGACACTCGAAAATCTAAACGCTTTGCGCAGAGAAGTGTGTCTTTGTTTTCCTCCCTCCCACTACCTTCAGGTGGCTCAACTCGGTAGGATCGCTTTCTCCTCATCAAGTCCCTCACAGAGCATCTTGCCAACATACTACTGTCTTTTGCGTCACAAGTTCCAGTGCCTGCACGTTTTCCCACTTCATTTTCAGAAGAACTTGTACCACTAGGGTCCTTTGTTTCTATGTGTAAACGGGCATGTTCCCCTTCTGTCTTCACCTTTGAGGTCTCAGAGAAAGGTAAAGAGCCCCATAATTTTTTCCTTTTGTGCTTATGATTGAAGCTGGAGCTAGCATCTTGCACCTGATGGCTGGAGGTCCTAAATTCACTCTTCCCCTCTATTTCAGAAAAGCCTCCAACTGATCCATCACAAGGAGTTGAGAAATCGTCATCCCCACAACCATCCACCTGGTGAATCACATACTCAGACGAACTTTTTGAAGAATTCTTTTGATCTGAAGGGTAAGAATCTCTTTCTTGAAATCTTTCAAAGTCAATCATATCACCAACCGAATCAAGTATGTCCTGACACTCCTTTTGGGATTCAGTCTCATAATCCACATTAGCTTTGTTTAGAACATTGTCAATGGTTGTTGCCGGCAACAAGGGACTAAGAATTGTCTCACAAACAAGTTCGTCATCAGAGTTTATATCTTCAGCGGCCTGAGAAGTAGCAAGCCATCTAAGAAGACCTAGTGCTTCACTATCTGTAACCTGAGAGAAAACATATGATTCCTATCATTGCCAAGACACAAAATATATCAGAAGTAAAGGCTCCACCTAAGAATCTAACCTCTAACAACATACAAAAGACATCACAGCTATGCAGGTTGAATCATTAGTTGTTAAGAGTTACACGGTTCCAAATAACTTGCAGTAATAAGTTCCATAAAAGGAAACGCAATAAACTCGCCAAGCCCCTGTAAATTCACAGGGCCAAGATAAGAATTTCCCAAGAGTGAAAAATCTGCATCAGCGATAAAAGAGATGCATAATCAGGATTTTTATACCTTCATGTTTACCGTCGGGATTACTAGTGATGATGGAAGTTCCTTATTCAATGATAGTTTGGAATTTGGAACACTATCTTTAGTAGAATCTTGTGTTGGCAGAGATCCAATTGTTTCTCCATCAATAAGATTATCAGTTTGGGGTCCAGCAAAGTTTCCTTCATCTTTTCGAGATGCCATCTGCTCCACAGACCTTACATCTTTCCTTAATTGAGTTCGACACAGAGAACTTTCAGCTTCACCGTGCACTTTAATAAGCTTCTTGTCAAATTCAAGACCAACTGAGAGAGTTTTCAAAGCATCTTCAGGAAGTGGTTTGGCAGGATCAGGTGGTATTGCTGCCTCATGTATTCCAGTCCTTTCACACTCCTAAGGACCAAAAAAGAAAGGAACAAGTAAGACGCATAACAATAAATTAAATATAGCAAATGAATGAGACGAAGACAACCTCCAAAATTGGTATAAGTGACTGAACCATCTTCACATCTGAACAAGTTTGTGAGAGGGAAGTATACATCTTAAGCTGCTGATTAAGAATCTCTGTGAAACCATAAAGTAGTAAAGATTTGATCAGCTAAAGAACAGTGATGAAGAAAGATAATGCAATCTCTGTGGCATTACTGAGAATAAAAACAAACCATCTACAGTAGAATCGCCCTCAAGTTCACAAATACTTTGACGTCTAATGCAGTTAATGTCTGGATGTGAGGAACCTTCAAATTCACCAGGAGAATTCCATGTCCAATCAACTGGAATTGTGGAAGATATCCAAACAGGTGAACCCAAAGAAAGATGACCACGTATATCTGCCTGATATGAAAATCCAAAACGTCATACAAGAACATTATTCAAAGTTACAATCATGCTCATCAAATCCTGGCCAAAAGCATAAATACCAACAATGTCAATTCAAACATATGAAATGCAGAGAAGAGAAAATGTTGACCTGCAAATCAGCAGACATGCAAGTCGTTTTATCCATGTCCTGACTAGGCTGTCCATTGTAAACAGACCTTCTATGGACGAAAACATCTGGTATTGGATGACGGAATTTAATCTTTGATACATGCAGATGACCCATCCCATACAAGTTGTAGTCAACCTACCAAAAAGGATATGAATTTATAAGTGAGGATGTAAGGACAGTGGCACATTTTGTGTGGTTACATATATGAACCTTTTCAAAACAACCTAATCAGATGTGTAAAAATATTAAAAAAGACAAATACATCATAGTTAAACTTTGGAAGCACTTAGTCCTCTAGCAACCAAATGCTAACATGTACAATTTTATGAACTGACAATCAAAGAAAAAAAATAATAGGCAGGAAGTTATATACCATAAATTGAAGAATGAAGGGAATGTGAGATTCATGAGGCTGTAAGCATTTATCAAAAACTGAGCTTCCCTGAAAACCGATGATAAGAATGATAAATCAAGCATCCACTCAGTCCACTTTATAATACAAGCTAAATCAAGACCAAAAAATAATGTGACTCACAAACATAAACCCATATAACGATCCATGATCATCAAATTTCATTTAAATCTAAAGAAGGTCAATAAAAGCTCAACGAAAATCTGATTGAGAAATTTGCGCAAGGGTTATGATCACAAGTAAGAGGCTCAATTCCATACAGAAAGTGAAATCTTGCAAAGAATCAGTTTTAAGGCCCACAAGAATCAATATCTTTGGTTGACAAAAGATTTTACAGAGGTACACATGATACAAAAGAAATAGTTTGAACAAGTCTAACACTTGGAAATATAAAACAAATAAAAAGACAGAATCAGAAGCATCATTGAGAACTCATAACCTCCAATGAAATGCTTCCACTTAAAAAATGTCCAAGATAATAAAAACCCGCATTGTTTACTACTTTATAAACTATAAAATTAGAATTGATAGCACATAAAGAGAACTTCACATCAAAGAATCAATAACCACAACGAATGGGGAAGAAATCTCTAACACATCAACCGTCAAAACTCAATAGTAAGAATAATACATCTCAAACAGACAAGAGACATCATGAGGATAGTACCAGAAGAAGACTTGCAGCACGAGAGACGTCATGGGGATAGTAGCTTAGTTTCTTGTTAAGGTGTTCAATTGTATACTCCTAGACCACTAAGGATATACATCCATAGAAACAAGATTAGGATACAGGTATATCTTCACAAACAACTCCTCCGATGAGTGGTAACCATAAAGCTTCCTAGCCTGGACAAGGCTGCAACTATGTACATGTTGTCGCTTTGAACCAGCATTACCTTTGAGCTGTAAGTGTTCACACCAAACACATTAAAACTGTATTTCAGTACCAGACATGTGAAGCAGGGAACCGTAAACCAGATAACATGCACTACATAATAGTATATTTGATCTGATTCAATGAGGCATACCTTCAAAGCTTTCTCTATAGCAAGAGCTACATCATGTGTGTACAAATCACCTGTGTGGTCAAACAAAGAGGAAAATAATATATTGCTGTATCAAATCAGACTTCAAATGACGTGCTAAAGCATAACTACAGAGGAAGGTCAAACTTAACAAACCCTAAACTTCAGACAAGAATGAACACAAATGTATATTCTCCTCAAAAAAATGAGCTTTACAAAACAAAATTCCAGCAGGTAAACAGAACACAGTAAGTCTAAAAATAACACCAACCCAGTAAAGCATTCAACTTTTCGGTGCTGGCCTAGTTCAAAACACACTATGTACCTTTCTGGTGCAGCTGAATCGGGATATCAGCGCATGGCACATATAAGTACGGTAATGCCTGCACATTATAAAAGATATTAATTAGCCTGAAGAAATAAGCGCCAAAAAGGCAAAGTAGCAGCACAACTATATAGAAACATGTATCCCGTCAACCAATACGCAAAATTAACGTGGCAATTTATGATCCGAAGACAATAAATAAAGCTATCCAAACTCTTCAATTTGCGTACCCGAAAGCAGGGAAAGAAATACCAAAAAAATTATACTTAGAAATGAAGAAATAAGCAACAATCTTACTCTATGAATGTGCAAGCAAGTCTTCTGACCAGCAGGCGTGGCGCCGAATATTCTTATAACTGGCACCTCATTCACCTTCCCACCTTCAAAAATAATTGAATTGAACCACAATTAACAACAAATTCACACAAAAATTGCAATTTTCAACGAACAACCAATTTCTCTAATTGGAAGATTAAACCCTTAATTATCAGTTTGTTTGCACAAATTGTTGACAAAAATCAGTGAAATTGAAATCTACTTTCCAAAAATTGAAGAAATTGAAGTCCAAGTTCAATGAAAAGCAGAATGAAAAAGGCTATGAGCTTAACCAAGCAAACGGCGTCGTTTCTGCTGGGAAAATCGTACCTTGGAAGCTACTGTAAGAGATATCGAGGCCTGGGATCGGCGGCGCCATGTAGTAGTCGACGGAGACGATACGTACGCTGAAAGAGTCCGAAGCCGCCATTGGATTTTTCCAAAATTACGTAAATGAACCCGCCAGCAGAAGCGCAAGGAAGCAGGAAGGATGGTTATTTAGCAATTTAGTGGAGTTTTTGACTGAGGATTTAAAAATTGGGGAGCTTTTTCTCCTGAAATGTGAAGAGGAAGAAGAAGCACCAATTTTTGGCGCAGGAAGTCGGCGGTTATGTTTGAAAAACAACTGTTTTTGTAGTTCTGTATCCGACATGGTTTTTGTAACATCCAACGTGGTCCCAAGGACTGGATCTTGTAAACCTTATAGGTATATTTTTATCTATACCTAACACTAACATGAGGGTGAAAGCAATCCTATGATGGATGATCCACTGATAAATTCTCATGTGAGTTCCCAGAAATAAAACCATGAGGGTGTGGTAGAGACTCAAAACGAACAATATCGTGCTACGATAGAGTTGAGTCCGGAATGTGATGGGAGTCCGGACCGAGATGTGATAGTTTTCGGCTAAGATAAAGCTACCAAATTTTTTAAATCAAATGATACATTTGCTTATTTTTTGTGAAAAAAGATATAGTTACTTCTTTATTATTAGTGATATATTATTTAATTTACAAATTTAGTCTAACATTTTGCTCTTCATTACCCTTTTGGTGAATAAAATGAATTGAATTTTTTTTTTCTTCATTTGGTAAAGAAATTGATTTTCATGGTTATGATGCTTAAGGCTCGTTTAAAAGTATTTTTTAAACAACTGAAAGCTTTTTTGGTAAAATTATGTTGATATCAATCCTTAACAAGATGCAAAAATAACTGGTGGGTTTGGACTCGCGGTGGACTGCTAGAACTGTTTGTTCGAATGCTCAAATGGATTCAGTGAGTGTTACTCTTACTACTGCCCACCACAATTTCTTGATTTCTTTCCTTATTCCCCATCAACGTAGCATCATTTTACAACTGAAAATCATTTACTTTAGAAAAATTCATTTGATTTGAAGACGTTTAGACATCTATATTTGTTGAACAAATGGACAATTAATGTAACAAGTGATACATTGTAATTTTTTTTTTCATTGATTCATATATGACTCAACGATTTCAGAAACGCATGAGCTTTAGACAATGGTAAAGAAAATCAACGATTTCAATTATAACTCAATCCTCGAGATAATTGTATAAAGATTTATGCCTTGGCATACAAGTAAGCTAACTTATCGCACAAGTAACAATCACAACTAGGACTAGGAAAAAAAAAGTACTAGGACAGGAAAACCTAACCCAGAGGGAAAGGGAATCCTAACCGGATTCACTCCCTTTAAACAGAGCAGTTACGGCAGTATTGTCCGAAAAGGAGGTAATATGACATGGTTTCTGATACCCTTTTCGTCTATTCAAATTTCAAAAAAGGCTTGTAGCTAAAATCTTTATGAATACCGAAATCAATATTTGTATTTCTAAGTTTATTCTTACAAACAAAAAGAATTACATATAATCACTCAGTATTATCGTCTGGTGATTTCCTCTTCACTTGAAAGTGAGAGGTATTAGGTTCGAATCTCGTGAATGACGAATTCGATACCAAATTAGGCTGCCAATTGTGTGGTTTTGCTGAACTCCTCTTCCCCTTAATGTAAAAATATCGTTGTACCAAAAAAAAAAAAAAAAACATATAAGATGAGTAAAATACAATATAAACAAAAAACAAAAGAGACGATCTAGATGTTGATACTGGTGGGAATTCCCTTGTTAGTAAGTCCAGGTTCACTAGAAGGATACAGCAAAGTGTAAGGGATCTTTGCCGGTCCGAACCGGTTTTTCAATCTCTCATCCTTGTTCATCTTTTCAATTTTGGCCTCAATCGCTTCCAACTTCTTTTTAAAATCCTCAGAAGCCTGCAGTATGTCTGCATCCGTTGTCCACTCCGCGGTGTCACGCTGTCCGAGATAGAGCTCATCAGCCGGGTGCCTTGACAAGATTTCCACCGTGGCCATTCCAAGAAGGGTCGGCAGCTGAGGTGCAAACGTTTTCAAGAATGCCTTGTCAGGGTTTGCCCTCAGCTCCTCATACTCTGGAGTGCCTTCTTCAGGCATGAACCGCCGGCTTATGGTTGGGCGGTTTGGGACGAATCCACCAATCGAGTACTGACCGTAGTTGATTGCTGCATGATGGGCTGAAGCAATATATATGATAGTTGTGCATGATTCTATCAGCTCGTCACGAGTCTGCATTTTAGGCCACCAGGGTTCATCTTTCTTGTCCCCGTGGCCTACCTCGCGGAGTTCCTTCCACCAGGATTGGAGTTCCGAATCATTTTGAACCGTTTGATCATTTTTGTAATAGAAGGAGCAATAGTCTTTAACCCATGTTTTAATTGCAGACCATAATTCAAGCCCGTCTGCAGCATATGGATAGTCCTCTATCAGTAAACGCACACCGTGTGATGCACTTGAATCTTCAACCGCCATTCCTCTGAACATAGAAAACGGAACATACTTTCAATTGCCATCGATTGTAGATGAAAAATGTACTTGAAAAATGCTACTAACCAAGATATTACCTTTTGATAAGATCCATGGGGAGTGCTTGATCAGGAAAAGTCCAGTCCTTGTACATTGCCGATGACCATTCCATCGAAAACTTTGAAGCAAAGATTATTTCCTCTATTACTCCACCAGCGTTTGTGAGAACCTGTCGCGCGGCTGCATTTGCATTCATAGTCTCACGAAAATGAGGATGCAGAAGTTTATTAATTGGGTGAAGCACGCTCAACTGCCTATTTGCCGCTATCACAAATGGCTCAGTCACTGCATGAGCTCTCAACCTGCAACAAACATGAACATAAATTTAAAATTTTACGAATTTATTTTGCTATTGCAAATGCTACGATTCGTTTTTCTGTTATTTCTTTGAAAGGGTTATACCAGTGGCTGAAAAGCTGATGACAGCCGGAGTCATTTACAAGTGCATAAGCTTTAGCAAGTTGCCAAATGGAACTCTTGATGCCTTGGCTAGACGGAGTATAGACTTTGCCAATGCAGCCAAACTGATCTCCATCCGGATGTGGCAAGCTGAGTTCAATAGCTATTGGCTTCAAAGTCCCATCATTGTTCAAGAAAACGAGTGTTCTGCTTGCGTATGCTTTGGTAGAAGTTGTGTTTATCCGCCTCAGGTACGGCATCCATGCATCGTGGTGGTCTAATATGAATAGCTGCTTGTTCTTGATTGCCTCATCTATGCTGAGTCCATTTAAGTTATGTTCTATATGTTCTTTGGTTATTTGACTTGTTTGATCCCCGTATGCTTCTCGGTCTAGCTTGCTAGCCGGTGGATATTCCTGCAGTTAATGCAGAAATTATAGCGATTAGGGATGAACAATTGGGAAAAAACAAATGTATACAACATAATAAATCATGAAAGCTAAGATTACTTGGAGACGACGTATTGTAACAGGATTTACTCCGGCCAGCAGTTCCCTTGCAAATTCTTCGTCAGTTCTCCATGCCGACTTATCCTCTAGTAGAAAAATCATTAAAATACCAGGATCGGTTAAAAAGAAAAGCAGATATGAAACTGAAGGCACATACAACATTATACTATATTACCTTTGATCACTTGAGGCACGGGAAATTTTAGGAACTTTTCGCCGTCAGTTCGAAAAAGTTCCTTGAATATCTCCTCCGGTATGCTATCACTAACGTATTTTAGTATCCCATCAGGCAACTCTAATCCTCCTTCATAGAGTTTAAGTACGTCTTCCATGGTTTCGAACTCGTTTTTGTTACCGAGGAGTAGAGCTCTTATCTCAGGTTTAAGGACCTGAGGGATGGATTTCAGGACATAAGCAAGCAAATCTGACATCTTTAAGGGTCCAAATCGTTCATCTCTCGGAACATATACATTTAATCTCTGGATAAGCTTCAGCCTGCTCTCGGTGTTAGGATCTATCAAGACAAGTATAAACATCTTAGTGACTATTCTTTTTTAATAATACCGAGTTTGAGTAGTGACGGCGCGAGAAGTGAATTTTATTTACTGACCTGTTTTTGTTGCGGGTCTTCCTGTTCTTCCCCGGCGAGGATATGGGTACTCAATAGACCCTCCGAGAACTGGACGCGCATATTCGGTACCCTTATCTGGATTCCCCAAATCATTGTAGTATGCATAGTCATAGACCCTGTCCCATTCCTGAAGCTCTCCTTGTTCTTCATCATCTCCTCGCAGGTTTACTAGCTCTTCTTCTCTGAATTTCTGTAGTGATTTTGGTGTATCACCTGGAAGATAAGTCTGCACAAACACATAAACCAATCTGTTAATTACTGGGGGACTTCGTGCGATTGTAACGACCTTGTAGGAAAGAAAACGGTCTTTTTTGTACAAATATACGAACCAATCTATTGATTTAGTGGGGGACTTTTGCGCATTGAAATGACTATTTTCAGTACCTTGTTAGCAAAGAAAACACGGTCTTTTTTGTACTTGTTAGCAGGATATACCCATGAGTTGCAAACGAAGTGGACTCGACCTTCGCCAGGAACATCTTCGAGGGTGACAGTCTTCAAGTAGAACTCACTGTGATGATAATTTCTAACTATGAATGCTCCCGGGACGCCAATTTCCTCATCCCAATCGAAAGTAACATCAAATGCAGTCTCCCCCGCTGTTAAGGGGGTGATTGTGGTCACCCAATTCTCCAAGTATGCTGGCTTTCCAACTTTTCCTGTCGACTCATTTTCTACAAAAAGCAACATATCAAATTAAAAAATCCAAAAAACGTCGATTTTAAGTATTTAAGAAGTAAACTAGGAGCTTATGTATCTAATCTACGAACTTAAAAGGCAAAATACTATGTATTCAGTTCTCACCAGGGTCACCATTAACCGAACTAATGAGCCTTAGAGAAACCGCTTTGCCTAACAGCTCGTGAACACGATCAAGAATCGAAGCTTTAAGGTCGTTCAAGTCGAGAACAATTTTCTTCATCAACACCACTCTCCCTTTGATCTTCTTGCCTTCATGTTTCGGCTGCGTAGCAACTGTGGTGTCCTGGGATGATGCCTTAACAACCGTTGAAGATAGCTTCAACGGTTGAGATCGTGTAATCATAGGCAAAAGTATTGGTCTCATGTGATTGAGTGATGAAAGGTTGTTGCCTGCAACAACTGAGTTCTTCATCCGATTCTGAGATGGACATTGTCTCCGAAAGCTCGAAGGAGCTGTGAGATACTTGGAATGCAGCA